GAGCAGAAAACATGATAGCAGAGCTGGCGGAAAACATGATATACGGCAGAAAACAACCACAGGACAGCGAAATTCATGCACTGGCAGGTGCTGCAACAAAAACAAATCCTGCAACAATGGATGTCAGTGAGAGGGCGCCTGAATGATAAATACTTAAATCATAGCACGCTTGTCATCCTCCGACTCGTCATCGTCGATCAGCGAGCCCAACGGTTGTTTCAGTGACATCATTCAAGGTGGTACGCGCCATCTGTACTGTAGTTTCGAGGTACCCAGCAGGCTTGCCTAACAGAGATTTGATGTACGAATTAGTTGGTTTAAGCCAGAGAGCTGCCGAAAATAAAAACGGAATGTTGGTCTTTTTCCAGTAACTTTGTTGAGGACCTTCGGTAGCCTGATGCTAACCCGACCTCTGATGCGGATGACAGAACATTTTGAACTTCGAGTACTTCATTTGCGATCATGGAGACAGCGCGCTCAATCTGAAAAAAATGAGCATGATTAAGCCATTATAGGTTGAACTCACCGCTGCAGCAGAAAGAGCAAGAGCCGTAACATCCCACTTGTTGCAAGTGCGCACATGTCGAATGAGGGAACCTGCACATAACCGGTGATGGCGTTGAGGTGTGCTGTGCCAAATAACTGCAGTACAAAGGGTGAGCGTATGCAGTAAGTGGAGATGGATTGTCCGGGTCCTCGAACAAGAATGCCCATTCAACATTAAGAGATTTGGCCAGTTTGACAGGATTCACGTCGGAATTTCGTGATAAAAAGTCCATGATGATGACTAGCCCTGTGGAGCCAAAATTGCTGCGCCACTCTGAAATGCGCTGTGCAGTCTGTATAGATTTAGCTCAGGTCGCTAAACCTAGAATTAAACAGCTGACTTACGAGTGAATGTATAACTCCACCGTGAACAACCACTATGTCGAGATCGTTGTACACTGCGTTAAGAAAAGCTGCGCATGATGGAGAAGGACCTCGTCAGGAATACTCCAGATATCTTCATAGCTTCCGGCCCACAGCATTATGGTAGGGATAAAATTCTTCGCCCAGCGCTGATCCATTTGCATCGCTGGAGGTAGGTCAACTGTGCGATAGGCACTGCGTGCTTGATGTTGTCTGGTGCAGTATCTGCATTCTGCTGGTGTGGTAGCAGGAGCACCACGGGCATGTAGTGCGGAAGATTTGACCTTAGCCTTTTATGAGCTGGCGGCTTGCTGTCGACTATAGCCTGAGATGCAGTAACGGATGTCTGTACATTGTCAGAAATGAGTGCGATTAGGGCCAGAATCCTTACTGAATATGTTGTGCGCAGAATTTTTCCTTCTTTGCTGCGTTAGTTTTGACAGGGAGGGTGCCTCCGAATCAGAACTCATGATTGCGTCTTCTACCAGTTTCCGCATTGCCATCAATCTCCATGGACCAGGACACCAAAGACTCCTCATCGTCTATGGTGCTAGCTTTCCGCTTCAAGAACATATGATTGTCTTCCTGTGTGAATGGCGCCTTAGGCTCCTGTGAGTACTGCTCCTCCGGTAATACTTGTGTCGACAGAGCCATAAGCTCATCATCCGAGTCGTCTGATGCCTCTGGTGGAGCCTCAGGCTCATCGACATCATAGTCCTCTTCGTATAGCGTGACAACCTGTGAAAGAAGGAATTAGTAGATTCGGATGCTGGCAATGAATCACTGCCAATAGTACCTTAGATTTCCCCTGTTTTTCTTGCTCCCCAAGAGAGCATCCTCACGCTCCAACGAATCGTCGATATCATCTGCAAACGCGCCAGTAAGAGTATCGTCTGCGACACCATCCGGAATTTGAGGCAAAGCTGCAGGAATCTTAGTCGGAAGCTCAGCGGCTGAAGTCGGTGCGGAGGGAAAGCATTGCCCTCTGAGAAAATTGATGACGGAGGTGCTCGAGTTGAAGTGCTATCAATGGATGGACATGACAGCGGCTCTGGATTTCCAGGTTTGACCCCTGAGATCCAGTTGGTCACTCGGCCACCTAATGCAAGTTTTGTGGATGTGTTGATACTGGAAGTAAGGTTTAGAAAAAAGAGTGTCGATTCAGTGAGGAGCAACATGGTAATGTGAGAGATAAAAGCCTTACGGTGATTTCCCATCAGCACGTGCATCATCACCTTCCACTTTTGACTCGGATTGATTCAGTGAGCTTCTTTTGCATGTTACTGATGGCATCCCTTATCAACGTCTTTCGACTTCTTCGTCACCATCTTTTTCCCCTTCCTGCAGCTTTATTTTCCACATCCCTGGCAATGTCAGTCTCTGACACTAGGTCCTCCAACATACCACTATCAGCAGGACTGTCACCACCACCGGTGTCTCCTACCACAGACTTTTTCTGAGTCACTTTTGGCTTTATCGCCTTGGCCCTAGGCTTGGGCTGAACGGGAGTCGCCTTTTTCATGATCAATTCCTTCTGGGCTTTCTCCATCTCAGCCTGCAGAGCAGCAATACACTCAACCCCCTTTTGGTGCGCTGCTTCCTTTGCTTCTCTCGCTTCTTTGATGACAAGGTCATCTGCAGCCTTTTGAGCCGGGGATCGCCTCTTGATCTTCGTGTCGAGCAACACCTTAGCAGGTCGGGCAGTTGCAGTCGATGGGCGGGTGCGCCGGGGAGCGTCTGTCATGGACATGACTGTGCAGATGGGGGAGACGGTGAGGGATAAGACTTTGCGGAAGAGGAAAAGAAAAGTAGGGTTTCAAGTTGAGAAAAAAAGTCGTAAGTCCCACCCCCAACAGCTGCCGACTGTGGTAATCGGGGTGTCACCTTTTGTTTAATAGTATCAAACTAGTACTAGTATGTGTGTTCGGCACTTCAAGTTCTCTGCCTTACTTTATTTTACAGTCAAGATGCCCATCGCTCGCAGGGACCATAGTTTCTCTCCAGTTTCCCTGTGGTTACTTACACTGCGCACGTCATTTCAAGTCTCAGGGAGGGCGCAAAAAACACTGGAACACCTCACACTCAATATTCGGACCAGCTCCTGCTACCACCAGCGTCTCACACACTGCTACCACCAGCGTCTCGCACACCACTACAGTTGAAGAGCAGCCTGAAGTACTGGATGGCCACTATCTCAGCAGGTCATGACAACATCTCTGCAGGCGGGTGACAATTTTCCTGCGGGTACATCTGACCCAAGTCAGGCACTTAATGAGCCTGACATTCCAGATAATTTGAACGCAGAATTTTTTGGGCCGGGTGATAGATTATACCGCAACTATCACCCAAAACTAAATGGTATGTTTCACAAAGTCCTTCCAGCTAGTTACAACTAACACGTATATCAATATAAGCTCGTCCTTGCGACGTGACAGGACGATTCCTTGCAGATGGAGCGCCCCCGACACCACCTCCAATCAAGTCACCCGATGACTGGGCTCCATATCGAAATCGTGTCGAGTTCGAGACTGCAGAATTTCTGTACACGCGCAACCAAATGTCTGCCGGAGACATCAATATCTTATTGGATCTTTGGGCTGCAACCCTCCTCAAATACAACGACAAACCTCCGTTTGCGGACCACCGTGATTTGTATAAAACTATTGACGCTACGCCAGTGGGTGATGTCAAATGGCAATCCCTCAAGGTCCAGTACACTGGGGAGAAGCCCGAAACCAATGTACTACCCTGGATGGACCAATCTCACGATGTCTGGTACTGAGACCCCCATGAGGTTATTCAGAACATGTTGGGGAATCCGGACTACGCTACAGAGATGGATTATCGGCCCTACCGTGAGTATTTGACTGATGGCGATGAACGCCAATGGCAGGACTTCATGTCTGGTGACTGGGCATGGAACCAAGCGGTACGTTGTCTTTCATTGTTTTCTGTCGCTACACATGCTGAAAATTTCAGTAGGAAACTATTTCTGAAGATCCGGATACACTCGGCTCAACGTTTGTGCCGGTTATACTCGGAAGCGACAAGACAACAGTCTCAGTGGCGACTGGTGCCAACGATTACTATCCCTTGTATGTATCAATCGGGAACGTTCGTAATAATGTCCGACGTGCACATCGTGATGCCGTTGCCATTATTGGCTTCCTCGCTATGCCAAAAAGTATGTTTCACACTACTACTATTGTTCTGCGCTAATCACAGTCAAGCAGCTACAGAGGAGCACGCAAAAGACTCAAAATTTCGGAAATTCCGTCGGCAACTGTTTCATTCGTCTGTCGCCAAGATTCTCGAGAACTTAAGGCCTGGTATGACCACACCAGAGGTTGTACGCTTCGGTGACGGCCACTATCGGCGTGTAATTTATGGCCTTGGACCATACATTGCAGATTACGAGGAGCAGGTTCTACTAGCGTGCATAGTGCGCAATTGGTGTCCGAGGTATGTTCCTAAATTATCTCCAACATCCCTCTACCTTAATGCTACTAGGTGTATGTCACATCCTGACAGTTTAGACACGAAGTCACTGTGTCGTCGACGTGACCATACAGAAGCGTTAGTTGAAGAGGCAACCTATGGTGCTTTGTGGATGGAGTATGGGATTGTTGGTGACCTTGTTGTAAGTCTCGCGCATCTTTTCTATCGGAGTTGAGACTCAATCCTTTCTAGCCGTTCACAAACGATTTTCCACGCGGCGATATTCACGAACTTATCGCGCCGGATATCCTGCATCAACTGATTAAGGGAACCTTCAAGGATCACCTAGTCAAGTGGGTTGGACAGTATCTGCAACATGTCCATGGTACGAAAGAAGCGGAGAGAATTCAAGCTGATATAGATCGAAGGTGCGTCACTTTGTCTCGAGTTGATGATTCGAAAGCTCACATCATCAAAGAATTGCTGCGGTTGCTTCATTTGCAGGTCTCCGACGATTTCCAGAAGGTCGGGGATTCAAACAATGGACGGGCGATGATTCAAAAGCCCTCATGAAGGTTAGTTCACTATCACATTAACTAGGATATTGCAACTCGGCTAACAATAATTCAGGTCTATTTACCTGCCATCGAAGGTCACGTCCCAACAGATGTGGTGCGCACGTTTCGCGCATTTCTCGAATTTTGCTATCTCGTACGGCGCAACATCATTACAGAATCTACTTTAGGTCAAATTCAGGAGGCTCTTGACCGATTCCATCATTACAGGGAGATATTTGAATCTACGGGTGTTGTCTTCACGTTCTCTCTCCCTCGGCAACACTCTTGTTCCCACTATGTCCTCCTTATCCAACTTTTTGGTGCACCCAATGGCCTTTGCTCCTCGATCACTGAGACGAAACACATCAAAGCTGTCAAGGAGCCATGGAGGCGCTCGAGTCGCTACAAAGCCCTTGGTCAGATGCTGGTGACAAACCAGCGCCTCGATAAGCTCGCAGCAGCACGCATTGATTTCAAGAACCGCGGAATGTTAAACGGCACCTGTCTGTCTGCCACACTCAAGGCATTAAGTAAGTTTTATAACAAGTTACATCTTTATTGTTGGCTTAAATTTACACTAGAGCGTTTGCGCTTAAATAAGATGCCTGATGCCAGCCAACCCAACGAGAATAGCGCCACGGTGCCAGTACTCTTCAACGCTGATGTTACTATACAGGGTGATAACGAAGAGGGCGAAATTGACAATGGCCCAACACTGGTGCAGGCCCATGTCCAGTTGGCAAAGACCCCTCGTAAGCTATCTCATATTTTACAGTGAACACTCTTCTAATAGAATCGCAGAACGCAAACGCGCACACACTATACCCGAGCTATCCACGGAACTCTCTATCCCCAATCTCTACAATGTCCTCCGCCGCTTCCTATTCGAACAAGTGTACCCAGACGACCAGCACCCTCCCTCTGAAATCCCGCTTTCGAGATGTCCTCGATTTGATGGGAACATCCAAGTCTTTAATTCTGCATCTTCGACATTCTATGCGCCCAGCGACCGCAGTGGAATTGGCGGTATGCGCCGTGAGCATATTCGTGCCTGTCCTATTTGGAGAAACGAGGCGCCCCGGTATGACTGTGTGTTTGTTAACACAGATGCAAGTGTTGAAGGGATGGTGGGCATGGATATAGCGCGCGTAATGTGTTTTTTTTCTTTCACATTCAATGCAGTTTCGTATCCATGTGCCGTTGTGCGCTGGTTTGACAAAGCCAGTGACGGACCCGACCAGGACACTGGGATGTGGATTGTGACACCTTCGTTTGATACTGACCATTCTTTTTCTGTTGGAATCATCCATATTGATTCTATTTACCGTGCCGCACACCTCATTCCAGTCTATGGAGCACAGATCATTTCACGCGACATCAAGCACCATGACTCATATGATGCTTTTCGAGCATTCTATCTGAACAAGTTCGCAGACCATCATGCTTTTGAGGTCGCATCCTAGGTGTTTTGGTCTTCTCGCTCTTGTAAGTTCATTCTGTCCGCTACTCGCATATGTGGTCTAATTACTGCGTCATCAAGTTTGCAGAGGCTAAGCCATGGCGCGTCAGACAGGCTATCATAGAATATATCCCCCTTCTCAACTCTACTTCGACAACGACATGAAAACACGCGTCTTGTCACTCTTGTGCCGCCCCCTCCGAGTCAATATGACCACGGCTCTGCTGTTGCGAGTACAGGTGATGGGGTCATCATCTGCGTGATCTGCGGCGACTTTTCAGCAAGCACTTCAGATCTAGGATGAGCTTGAGCGGAGTGCTTAGACGACGAGTTTGGTGAGCGCAACTTCTGCGCATTAGGTGAGTCTCCATAGTGCTTATTGCAATGCTCAGACCTAACTCCATCATTGAGTTTGCAGAGGCTAAGTCATGGCGCGTCAGACAGGCTATCATAGAATATATCCCCCTTCTCAACTCTATTTCAACAACGATATGAAAACACGTGTCTCGTCACTCTCGTGCTGTCCCCTCCGAGTCAGGATGACTATGGCTCTGCTGTTGCGGGTACAGGTGATGAGGTCATCATTTGAGGTGACGAAATCTGCATCTGCGTGGTCTGCGGTCATTAGTTTCAGCAAGCGCTGACGGGTGACTTGGACTTGGACTTAGTAGTAGTACTGGTAGTACTACGTGTACCCCACTTATTGCGCTTACAAAACTTTTTCTGCTTTTTGAGCTTTTTTGAATGGTGCCAACTTGTGAACTCTGAATTTGCTTTCCAGAAAGTGCATTAAGTCGGAAAAGTAACACTCCGAGAGAATTTAAGAGACAAAAAGTGAGATAAGTAAGCGGTGGTTTTCCTGATGCTAGGAGTTGCCGACTTTGGTAACAACATGTCGTGGAGCTGACCATCGCGGCTGTAGTTTGCGTGCTGATGCCATGGTGAAGTCTAATGCATTAGCGTAGACTTGAACTAACTGTCCTTCTTCGAATATTACTTCACCTGTATGTGACTTGAGAACTTTCTTCTCGAACGTAGCCTTTTGCCGTGCTGTATGAGCAACCATATGATCTGCTCCATCGAGGCGTTGTTGATCCACATAGACCATGTGTATGTCAACTCCTGTTTTGCTTGGCTCTCTCACTGCATTGTCTATCGGTGTAGGAATGGTGTTGACGACAAGGCCTAGCATAAGTTCTTTAGGTGAAAACTTGAAGGCTGGGATGATGCGCTCGTTCAATTGACGAATGGCGTTGTCAAAGTGATCTGGCCATGTTTGAGCTAGACTCTCTGCTTCCACATTCTCATATTCATCTTCCCCTAGACTTGGGCTGCATAACCTCTTCAAATGTCCTAACAATTTCCCATTAGCGTTTTCCACCAAACCATTCACCCATGGTGCATATGCTGCTACTACATGGTGTTTGGTTCCATGAGCTTCGCACCATGTCTGCACGTCCCCATTGTCAAAATGAGATCCGCCATCTGTCATGAACATGTCTGGTGCTCGGAAGGTATTTGAGATAGTTTCGAGTCCGTCGACTGTTGTCTGCGCATTTCCATGTCTTCTCAATTTGAACCCCCATACATATTGTGAGTATGTGTCGAGGACTAGTAGGACATTATGATACCCGTTTTTCCCTTTCGGAAGAGCTAGGTAGTTGGCTACTAGGAGTTCGAAGGGATGGCATTCAGTGATGGGGTACATGAGAGCATGTAACTGAGTGGGACCAAAGTTCTTGCACTGGGGGCAGTTCAGTAACGCTGCAGTGATGGATTTGTCCAGATGTGGGCTGATGATGCGGTCCATCAACTGCAGTTTGGTAAGGTCTTGTCCCCAGTGTCCATTGCTTGCATGTACTTGACGCGCCAATTCTACTGCTTCCATTTGGGAGACACATTCTAGCTGTGCTCGTGCTCGCGTTGACTTGCCGTCCACTATGCGCCACAATTTCCCTTCTTCAATCATGTATCCCAGAGTACGGTAACGTGCTCTGCATCGCTCACAGTCCGGTTTGCTGCTGTCAAGGTCAAGGAGTGCATCTATGACTTCTAGGAAGAGAGGTTCTTGCTTAAATCATTCTTGTAGTTCTAAAATCGCTGAATCAGTAGGTTGCACTAGAAAGAGGTCATTTACTAAGCCGTGTGTTGTTTCCCAATCTTCGCTAACTGACCAAGCGATTTCATCTCCATCCGTGCATGGTCATCCAGACATATGATGATTTAATGCATCTGCGGCTGCATTGGTGATACCTGGATGATGCCGGACTGCAGTTATTTGGTATGCTAATATCCCATTGCGCCAATGTGCATGCACTATTGACAGTTTGTCGCTGAGTAGTGTGTCCCGCAATGCTGTACAGTCTGTTTCCACTTCTACAGGGAAGCCCCACACTGTTGATCCGAACTGATCAAATGCGAACTTTAATGCTGCGAACTCAAGTAGATATGGTTTGTAGTGTTCTTCCGATAGAGAAGTATGCTTTGACATGAATCCAATCGGGTAGATATTCATGACAGTATTGCCCGATGGTTGTTGTGTTGTGAACCGTTGTGCTAGTACAGCCCCAAAGCCGTCCTTGCATCTGTTGCTAATGATGATGAACGGTGTCCCGTCGAAGTTAGGTGCACGTAGGATCAGTTCTGAAACTAATATCTGCTTGAGTCTTATGAATGTTTTCGTGTGGCATTGCTCCCAATATATGTCCAGCTTGTATTTGCGTAAGTATTGCCTATACTTCCATTTTCCTCCTTTCACGCTGAGTGGAGGTAGATCTAGGTTTCATAGAAGGTCCGTTAATGGAAGTACTATACGTGCATAGTCCTTGATGAGCGATCGAGAATATCCTGTAAGGCCTAGAAAATGCATCAGTTCTAACAGGTTAGTAGGAACCGGCCATTCTGCTACAGCTGCAATTTTCGCTAGATCTGGTCTATACCATCATATCCTATGCATGATCCACCAAAGACAACCTCTCTCATGAAGAGCTGGGTCTTCATTGGTGAAATTGACAGTCTCCGTTCTCGACACTGTAAGAAAAAAGAGCCATAACCTTGATAGTAGTTCGTTGAAGTCGTTACCTGCCATAGCCCCATCGTCGACATATAACTCCAGGAGTAATTGTAACATTATGTTGTGTAATGCTTGAGCTGTGAGATCACTGAAACATGATGGCGCACCTTGTACCCCCATTGGCATTCACTGATAGGCTTCGTATCCTTGTCCTTTGGTGTAGAAACACAAATAGGGTTGACTCTCTTCCTCCACAGGAATTGCATAGAAACCTGCTGTGAAGTCCAAGACACAAATAAATTCGTGTCCCACTAAACATTGTTGTTTCGCGGCTATGTCTCCTTGAGGCGTCACTGCTACGTTTGATACCTTATTCACGTCCCTGAAGTTCTAGCATATTCTCCATTTGACCTTAGATGGGTCTACCTGCCTCGGAGTGATAACCGGTGTTGATTCCATGTCAACAGTGTGGTCCAAAGGCTCACCGAGTGCGACACACTGTTGGTTAACAATCTGTTGAATGTCATCAAGCGATAAGCTGGTTCCTGAGTGAGTCTTCTGTACTAAGACTGTTGAAGCTACCGCTTTGACTTTGTCCGCCGGAATGAAACATGTGATTCCTGCCCGTCTCATGTCATCTAGAACTGGGAATAGATACTTGCATTGAGGCTGTGTTAGTGGTCTTTGGTGCACTTTCCTTGAAAATATCGCATCCTGAGGTATCTGTAGACGGAATTTAGTAAAGTCCACTGGTTTCACTTCCTGGATTGATAGTGCGAATACGTCCGTGAACTCTATAACTAGTGCTTGTGCCTTCTGTAGTTGTTCTTGGTTGAGATGTGCTCCAAAACAAACAGCATTGGTGATTGCATTTACTCGAGGTGGATAGATCGGTCCTCATGATGTTAGTCTAGTAAAGATATCATCAGGTAGCGCTGAGTCTCCAAGGTCCGGTACTTCACCTAATATTTGTGTGTCGTCTTCATCATCTTCCTTATTTACATGTTGGACTTCGCTTATTAATTCTGGAGGTTCTTCTATGTGCGATTCTGATATGGGCAGGACTGTATATACTTGAGTATTGTTGATACTATGTGCTGTAAATTCATTAGACATTGATACTTGTGGTGTTACAAATTTTGACGATGATGGAAACTGGATGGCCATTGGTAAACATGGCCTTGGGAGAGGACAATACTCAGAGAAGTTGGGGATATGATGATAAGATGTTCTATAAGGTAAAATAATGGCATCAGCGCTATATTCGTGTATCACTCGTACCTGTTCTAGTAGCGGTTTACCAATGAGCATTCACCATGATCCCCCGCTTGGAAAGACTTCAAAGGTTGTGTGCACCTGTACCAGTCCCCATGACAATATTCCTGTCCATACTCCTGTTGACGGTACTAATGCTCCATTAGCCATGCGTAAGGTTCTCATTGAAGGACTTAGCGGAGAGAGGTGTCTTGCTATACATTGATACACTGCTGTGTCAATAGCGTTGATCATTGTGCCATTATTCACAATGGCAAGGAACTGTGTTTTCTCCCCTTGTGGTCCTTGCAGGTAGGGTACTGTTAAAAACAGATTGCTCATCTGTGAGATTGCTGGTTTGCCCGAAGCATCCAACCGATAAACATCAGTAATAGAATTGTTTGACATAATTGAAGGTACAACCGAGCCGGTAGGTGATGGTGAGTTAAGAGATGGCAACTCTACACTTGCCAGTTGAAGAAGAAGGAGAAATGCTATGTATGATACTTTGTGCCCAAGGCACATCCTGAGATGTGTTATGAGACATGAAATTGTTCGTTTAGTTAGAAGGAGAAATGAAAGATGGACTTGGTACTATGGGAACTACTGCTGGTCCAACATTGGCAGTGGTTCCATGTAGTTTTCTGGTATCCACTCGTGCCCTGGTTCTTGCGCAATCCAATTATCCTGTCTGCTCCATCCTCCCAATTCTTCCTGCGGCGCTACCATATATATTGGCATTGTTCCCACTGTTCCGTATGCACCATACTGTGGGTATGTGGTGGCCGTAATGTGCTGGACTGGCATTGGTAAGTAGCTGGGACAATTCATTGGCGATGCTGTCCTTCTAATCAATCCTGCGACCTGTTGTCACCACCTTGATTCTTGGGGTCTTAACAGGGTCTTGAGCGATGCATTGTGTACTGATGTGAAGCGGTTCCATGACCATGCTGCAATTATAGCACTCTCCTGATCCAAGGACTGCAGTTCCTGGACGTAGAGGGTAGGGTTTTTCTAAGGTTGGGAACCCTTCTGCACCATGCGTACGGTGCCATAACTCAACATCCTGCCTCATATTGTTGTCTTCCTGCCTCTGTATTGGCTCATTGGTGCATTGCTGATAGTTTCTCCAGGATTTGAGCTCTGGTTAGCTGCGCGCGCATGAAGGGCATTCCCCTCAGTGTTGAATCCTCCTTGCATTGGCATCACATAGTTCAGTCAAAGCCCAACATAGAACCTGTACCCCAGACATGCCAAAAGGTCGTAGAAGCTGTGCAGCCAGAGGCTGGCCAGCTGTACTAAATTCACATATATGTGGTACTGGCCAGCACGTAGAGGCATGTACAGTAATATGTGACTAGCTATATACTAGGTATCAGCTATGGACATAGGACCAGTGCTAGTCCGTAGACCCTGTCCGGCCAGAGGTGTAGGACCTGTACTGGCCAGACATCAAATGAGAGGGAGCTGGATTGTAGAACCTGTCCGGCCAGACAGGTAGGACCTGTACTGGCCAGACATCAAATGAGAGGGAGCTGGCCCGTAGAACCTGTCTGGCCAGACAGGTAGGACCTGTACTGGCCAGACATCAAATTAGTGGGAGCTGGCCCATAGACCCTGTCCAGCCAGAGGGGTAGGACTTGTACTGGCCAGACATCAAATGAGAGGGAGCTGGCCCATAGACCCTGTCCGGCCAGAGGGGTAGGACCTGCACTGGCCAGACATCAAAAGAGAGGGAGCTGGCCCGTAGAACCTGTCCGGCCAGAGGGATAGGACCTGTACTGGCCAGACATCAAATGAGAGGGAGCTGGACTGTAGACCCTGTACAGCCAGAGGTGTAGGACCTATACTGCCCAGATATCAAACATCTCTAAGATGTATCTCCAGTTAGACAGAGCAAAATATCATTATATTTGATATACATTGATACCAACAAGGTGATATAGGTGTGAGTAATATAACATGAGCCATGTGATAGAATGCTAAAGTTTCATGGCTTTCTTAGTGGGCTGCCTAGATCTGGAGGATCAACAGATATCAACCTTGACCTTCTTGGATGGCTTTCGAGAACCACTGGACTTGGCTCTTTTTTTTCCCTTTCACCTCCACCTCCACCTCCACATCCTCACCCTCCTTGCCCTCCTCATCTTGCTCCACCTCCTCAACTCTCTGTTCTTCAGCTAACCGCCTCTCGTCCTCCTCCTCCTGGTTTTCTAGGAGCCTACTGGTGTTCTGCAGCTCCTTCATGGCAGCCTCAAGCATCCGATTCTCCTCCTTCAACTTCTCATTCCTGGCAGTATTCTCCTGAAGCATCTGCAACTCATCTGCTAGCTTCTGCCTCATCTCTGCCTCGACAACTCCCTTCACACTATCTTCGTGATCATGAACATCATCTTCAGCTCCAAGTCCACCTCCACCAGCAGTGTTATCGAGTATAGAACTTTCCTGCTGAACATCCTTTGACTTCAGTAGATGCATAAGTCTGCCTCTGACCTTGTTAACCGACTCTACAACCAGGTCAAGCACCTTGATATCCAAGATCGAGGCGCTAATGTAACTGGGAGTCTGGAAGGTGACCTCATCAGCCTCATATTCAATGGCTCACTTACACTTCCTAAGCAGCAATCCAAGACCGAGTGTAACTCGCATTGCGGATGGTAAGCCAGAGATCTTGATAGATGCAGCTGTCTCTAAAAACTTCTGCACCTCACCATCCACGCAGTGCACATCATTCGGAAGGTAAGACTCTTCCCAGGACAAAGTTGCCCAGGCAGGCCATTCTTTTTGCTGGTTAAAATTTGGTTCCTGGACTCAGTCAGTATGAAGTATCACTCGGTCAATTGACAGCATACCTTGCCCAAGTCTCTGATGCCCTCAACTAAAAGAAGGTATTCATTGTCGCTGCTCAGAGACTTCAAGAATGGGATTCTATCCTTCATACGCACCGTTGCAGGAGCACCCTCCTGAGCACCTGAAGGTCAGCTGGCCATTGCTGTCGTACGACCCATGGAAGCTGCTGCGGCCGACTCATTTGCACCCTTGACTAGGTTTGCCCTACGTGACGTAGATGGTGTTCCACCCGACTCGCTTTCGGAGGAACTGACCGGCTCAATTTTGACATACATCTTCTTCGTTTTCTCCTGGTGGGGAACCGCGTCCCTAAGGAGCTCCTTGCTCATATCACCTATTTTACCCGCAATGAATATCACCAGCTTCTTATTTTCCTCCTTCCTAGCCTGCCAGTGAGCCCAGAGCTCATTGATATTTTCGGCCCTCATATGAGATGGGTCTCTCAAGATGAAGCCTTCTGGGATCGAATTTAGGTCCAGGTAGAGAGAGGGCTTTGCCACCACCTCATGCCAAGGCACCGGTTTGTTAGTGTTGGTAAAGACCTCTGTATAATGTATTGTATGTTCCACGAAAACCAGTGAAGCAGACAAATACTCACTGTATGATGCACGGAATATCTGACGCACCAATTCTTGTTGCCCTCTGGTGCTAACTCCAGCTTGGTGTAGAAAGCTGATTTCTGCTGGGCTCAGCAGAAATCATACTACCTAGTCAACAATGTTTAGGTAGATCTTAGCACAACCTAGTCTGCTATACTTGCAGCGCAAGTGCATTCGATCCTAAAGGGATTGCTAATTGGTATTAGTAGTAAAAATGTGTCAGTAATGCAAATAACAAAATGTCCGATGCTGTGAAACGATGTCCGAAGGTAATCCGATGATGTCTGAAGCCAAAGTGCGATGTCCGAGATTTCAGACTTTCGGACTTCACAATAATGAGTTGGAAACTTTATAACGAGTGTCGGGTTGCGAGTGGTATGCGCGAGTATAACGAGTGATGGAGTATGATGGTGAACAAATGGTAATATTTCGCAATGCAACTAAGAACTACGAGAATATTCTGGGTGATCCGCAGAGTCGGGAAACGGCTCCTAACTACTGGATGATGATTGCTACAGGTCACTACAGAGTATTTAAGTAAGTACGTAGAAATTTGGAAAACTACAGGCGAAGATAGTAGTGATATATTTCGGGTCTGATGTCCTATGTAATAAGACACGAGGTGCTGCGGACATGTAATAACGCGGTACGAATGTCAGAAAACGTGCACGGGAATAACTACGCACCTAGTGAGGCTAGTTCAGATGGACAGGACACAGGATGGACAAGTGCGCGCAAAGTGCGATCAGCCGATGCAATGTCCAAAGGTCCGATGCGCCGGATCCAATACGGAGTGGCTCGGACATGTGCGAAAGTGCGTTGGACATGTGCGCATATGTTTTGGGTGTTGACGTGAGTATGGAAATACGTGGTTTTGAGCCCAATGCCGCGACCATCGCTACATCGGGAGGGAAGCTTCAGGTACCCTTTTTTGTCCAAAATGACTTCAGGTGGGCTGACCTTGCCGTCATCCTCCTCATCATCAGTTGACTGGTCATCATTTTCATCTGGGTCTCAATTTTCCTTAAATAAGGTGAAATTCTTAGAACAATAGACACTCACAAAATTCTAACTTAGACCATTCTGCGAATTTTTCAAACCCTTCAGAGATCCATTCCTTATTCCCTTGTGAACTCTGAGTAAAGGGTTTTTTACTGTTGACCGGCTTTGACTCATGACTAAATAATAATAGCAAAGTGTCATTATACTGTAATACCAAAGTGCTAAAAATACACTCACACAATGACATTTAGAGTCTGGTCAGCAGATTTCTTGTGACTAGCTAGGATCATAACCTGACATCCCATAGTACGACACATTTGTTCAGCGAAGTAATCAAGAATTCTTTTGAGGTGCCTCTTTCGATACCTGCCAAGGCAGTTAATCCGAGCATTAGAATAGTTATTTTAGATACTCACATCATCTGGGATTCCAGAGGAGCACTGTCCCTATTCCACTTTTCCCTCGCATTCTCAACCTCCTTCCATTGTGCAAGGGTCATGTTTTTGAACCAATCTCTAGCATGACCAGTTCTATACTTGATTTCATTCTTCACCCCCAACTTCGCTTGTTCCTCCTTGTCATACTCATCAATCTCCTGCTTAAATAGCTTCTGGGCAACATCCCAGTCAGTAACTGCCTTCTTGTAGAAGGCTGCATCCTTAGGATGGGCTGCTGCCTCCCTTTCCTAAGGTAGATATCTCATCCTCCGGCTCATCTCCCAAAAGCTTTTCTTCCAGCCGTAAGTCATCCTTGTCAGTCAAAAATTGAAGGTAGTATTGCCTGATAGCCTTCGTATTACTGTGAAATTAGTTATTAAATACACAAAAATTTGATCACACCTTTTTCAATGCCTTTGGTAACTCAACCAATTCATCCTGCGATTTGTTTTTGGCAATAATATAGTCCCGGACTGTCCTCACAATACCTCGACGTGCATCCTGAGATGCAGCCAAAAATTCAGTCTGATGGAGAGCAAGTATGCCCTCAAAAGATACCTGCCATTCAGCCATGATGAGTCTAGTGATTAGTGTGAGAAAAGGGTCAATGGTATGAAAGGTATGCGTGACGTAGCAAAGAGTCAGCCATTGATGACTCTAACATAAATTTTGCAAACACGATCACATGACTCTGGAACCGCGTTGTAGGCACACAAAATCAAGTCAAATTATTGCAAACAAACATCTACCAAACTAACTATTTGTGAGATAAATCAAATCCTCATCCTCTTAGCAGACCCTTCCCCATTCATACTCCTCTGACGCTTGCCCTGTGTGCTCAACTCAACCAGAAAAATTGTGGAAGGAGACTGGAACCACCCAGTAGTCTTTGTCTTAGCAGCATTGACAACAAAACCAGGTGGTTTGTCAATGTGGAACTTGTAGCAAGGCTTGCGCTGAGCCTTACCACACTCAGGATAGGTGCAGGAATATAGGTACCTGGATACAGGAGCCTCAGCTGGAGCATCAGGGTCAAGAGGCTCATAAGACACCTTGACAGCGACCCTCTCTGACCAACTATTGGTGGACCCACAGGGAGGGCACTGTGAAGGGACTGGGATACCCCAAGGTTGGGTCTGCATGTGGGCTCGTGCATACCTGGTGATAATGAGCTTGTGCATACCGCCAGCGTCATCCCTTGTCATCAAAATGATGTCCGTGTGTTGTCCAAGGTGACTGGAGAGGGAGAGAAGACCAGGGAATGCAGTGCGGATGTCAAGGTCCTCGATTATCACTTGCTCCGCTAGAGAGAGCAAAAAGTGGGTGGCAACCAGAGGCTGAAAGTGTTTGGCGGAGAATATGATGGAGGATGCGACACCGTAGTTGAGTAGAGCTTCCTGGAGCTCACTAAAGGTGTCACCATGGGCCACAACTGAGCCACACACTAGGAACATCATGATGGCGCCACCAAGGACGCTGCAATAGGGGCCTAGGATGGTAGATAGTACCTAATATCACATAAGTCAAGAAAAATGCAAAATAACAGAGACCTTACCTGAGAGACGCTCATAGTGACAAATTTACCTTTCTCTCTCCCAGCAAAAAGCCACCCGCTATCTTCCTCAGAGTGATCGGAGAAGAAGGCCAAGACACGTCCGCTATGCGCAAGATGAGACTTGAGCTGGGTGATGCGGGCGTCCTGGGCGCATGTGTAATCGTGAACACTCTTGTGCATGGTGATGTCAAATGGGACCTCAATATAAACGTACCCACCGTTTGGAAAGTAGTGCTCCGAATAGTGAGAGAGCAGAGGAACGGGCGTCACAACCTCATTACTGCCACCCAGAATGAAGTGGATGACAGCAATGGGTGCAGCAGCCAATGCTGCAGATGATGCAGTCTCGAACCTGCCATTCAATTGAAGGTAACCCTGCAGAGCAGGTTCTCCTCCTTGAGCCGGCAGGCTCCCTCTGTAGAATCCCTGTAGTCATTAGTTAGCTTTATTCAAATTGAAAATGAAATAAAACAAAGGACTCACATAGTAAGGTGCAGGCACCTTATGGGTGCGCCCAGTATGACAGCTAAGGCACCAAAAAAGGACGTCCTGGTTGAGCCACCAGGCTGCGAGAGTCGGACAGCACATCAAGGCACCTGCTACACATGACCCGAGGGCAAGCTGCTGCACTCATAGAGCACAATGTCCCCCTCGGCGCCGTCACGGCAAATAAGACACCACTAACTAATATTAGCAACAATAAATGCATGAAGAAAGGACTTACTGAGCTGTGGACGTCTGGTTGTACTACCTCAACCTCCCCCTCACTACTTGGGCTTGCTGGAGGAGGAGAGGCAACCAGCGATCCCAGAGGTCCACTGAGTCACCTAGCAACACTGCCAGCAGCTCGCTTTTTGGCAGTATTCTTAGTCATAGTGCTGAAAAGAAGGACTTAGTAGAAAGAAGGAAGGTGTGAGGCGCAGAAACTGAACTGGCTGGTTGAACCAACAGTCATGTGACCGTGGACAATGAGCAGCGCTGGTAAACAACAACACGTCAGGTGGCCACAAAAGTCATGTGCTTGAATTGTTGAGCCGACACTGTGCGAATGTAAACAAAGGCAAATATGCTGTGGCCTAAAGGCACCACCACCCATTCACACGGTTGACTTTCTTGTTTCTCTCCACTCAACACTGCCACCTCATCCCATTAGGCACTTACACAGGCTGCAGCTGTATAAGTGCCTAATGGTCAATGAGCGGCATCTATTTAACTTAAGTATATCTCTTTTTATCTCAAAATCCTTACTGAATAGCGCTTCAGTTCTTTTATAGGTCCTCTTTTGTAAGGTGAGTACTATCTTGAGAACTCTTATGCTCACACCTTTTCTTCCTCTCTAGCGGCCTCAATCTTGAGCTCAGAGGTCTAGTGTGTGCGCCGGCGCGCCTAGCCTCTATGCTTGGTCACTCTGGGGGCTTGGAGGGTGGTTTAGTGTGCACACTGGTGCACCTATCCACCCTCATCATCAACCATGGGCAGGGAGGTCTAGTGTGCGCTCCGGCGCACCTAGCCTCTATGCTTGAGCATTCTGGGGACTTGGAGGGTGGTTTAGTGTGCACACTGGTGCGCCTATCCACCCTCACCATCAACCTTGGGCAGGGAGGTCTAGTGTGCGTGCCAGCATGCCTAGCCTCTGCACTGTCTAATACTTGGGTAATCTGGCGGTTTATCAAGGTATCTCTCTCATTATTGACAGAATGCACTCTGACCGCTGCTTACAGTTTTTTTTTTTTTGGTAAATTCACTCTCAGGTAATTTTGATTCACATTCACACCCCAAGCGCTAACACAACGCTTGCAGACCGTCCTTGACTTATTTATATATACATTCAATTGTTTCTTGTAGTAGTGTGCTGTACAATGCCAAGGCGGGGAGGGCCCCTCCACTGCGGCTTTGTATTAGCTAGTTTAGTTTTTTCTGTACATCTTAGTATTTTTGTTGTTTTCTTTATGCTGTTAATAGCTGTAAGATTTTATTTGAATTTGACCGGGATCTATTTGTGATTGTTTGACCCCAGTAAGGGTGGATTGGGATGTCCACCATTTTGCAGACCAAGCTAAGGTGTCAACAAACCCGTTGAATGCTGATGGTCAACAAAGAGAAAAACTTGCAAAATATTTCAAAACTCCTTCTTTCGGCCACATCTCGGAGCCAACCACATTTGTTGACAAGCATGGAAGGATACTCGCTTGGTATTTGCCGGAGATCTTGGTGCCTGATCGAATGGTGCGCCCAACTTTCAGACATGCAGTCAAATCATTTGTAACTGTTTATATTTAGGAACAGGCCAATAGCTTGATCAAGTCGCTCAGACCTGTCCTAGACCAGTCTTTGGCCAAGGCAACTGAAGAGAAAAACAGCCCTTGGCGTTCACAAGGTTTTGTCATGCCTCCAGGGGGGGGGAGTTTGGAGCAGGGCGGGTGACTTTATGCCCTGGTGGATTCATGCAGCGCCAAAAGGTAAGTGTTACAAGAACATCTAGACGCTTGGGCCCCTACCATTTTCCTCCTCATCCTCCTCGTATCAGCCCTTGCATCACACCCTTACCCCGACCTCACTCTCATTACCCTAGTCATCCTCGCATTCCCCTTCGCCCTCTACTTGTCGCTGCAGCAAAGCCAGTACATCTGGCCAGATCCTTTTGCTGACAAAGCATACCCATGCTCTGTTTCACCACCTGACTGATCCTGTGGACAGCCCCCTTACCCTTACCGTCCAGATGGTAACCTATGATACGATGCACGACACATCCCCTTTGCCCTTTTCCCTTTCTTGATCTATGACTCGGTGTGCAGTCGCACATGCGTACTTATATTTATTTCCGCAGTTGCACGATCGTGCCCCTGCGCGTTTCACTTCTTATTCCGATCTTTGACTCACTTTCTTATCTGCACGTTCAGGTTCACTCGTGTCTAACCTCGAATGTGCTTTCCTTTTATGGTCTTACCCTCGCTACCATGTACCATATTCCACTTAACAGAGCTAGCGTCTCCAAGATGATTTGTACCAATCAACCCAGCTCGGTTCACTTGTTGTTCGGCGTTGGTTATCCAAAATTACTGTGCCTGAACAACTCTGGTCGGCTATGACTAGTATTATTGCGCCGGATCAGTATCTTGCTGGTATTGAATCCGTGTCTAGGCTGAAGAATATAGTTCGTACCTCAAAACCAGTCGTTTGGCCCTCTGTCTTTTCTGGAATTGAGGTAATTGTCAACCGAGAGACGCCACATCACCAAGATCCAGGAGCATCACCACCATTCTACGACCTTCTAGTTAGCCTTGGCCAAACCAACCAGGCTATACTAGATCTTCCAGACTTGGGCGCCCAACTAGGTTATCCCCCTGGGACTATGGTATATATTGCAGGCAAGGTGCTGGAACATGGAGTCCCAGGTTGGGGTGATGGTGAGAGGATCGTGATCGCCCATTTTATCAAGGATAAGGTCCATGATAAGCAAGGCATTCCAAGGCCAAGCTTTCTGATCCAGCATGATCTTCTCAAGTGGGTGGGGGCTGGTAGAGGTCTGAAACCTGTTTGTAAGAAGAAGGTGGGAAAAATTGATGGGGTTGGAAGGGTAGCAGCTAGGCGGTAATAGAGTTAATTAATCTATCAAGAGGAGATATGGCCAGATTTGATGGGGATGGTTTTTTTTATTGCATTACTCGCCTTACTTTGTAACGTTCATTCTCATTCCTTGGTCCAAGTATTATGTCTGGCCAGAAAAAAAACCGACTCAAGTCTGTTTCATATTCTTTCAAAGACAGGGGTATTTTGTCACAATGAAAAGACCTGGATGTTGACTATATTGCCTAAAAACCTACAATTGGAAGGAGGGGAAAGCCATCATGGCTTGAATCTCACGCTGATCCACTGTATGAAATATCGGGGAAATGTTCCTCCTCCTCGAGCCCCAGGAAACGAGCAAAGGAGGTCTTGATGGATTTGCCAGACATCGAGACATTCACTGACTTTGGTCTGGAAGGAGAGGCTGCTCAGGATGCAAGAAAAACCAAGGTACAACTCATATTTTCTAGCTTACAGATAACTCTCTTCTCATAATACATAATATAGACCCAAAATAACTTCATAGCAGAGTATTTGGCCTACTGGGATCTATATCTAGACATCATCCTGGAATCGGAACAATTTACCCATGCTGGCATCTGTGAGACTTGCCAAAGTGCTGAGGGCGTATTCAGTTGTTTAACTTGCACTGGAGATCATGGCTGGTGTTGCCCTTGCATGGTCAAGTTGCATCAGTCATTACCGTTTCACAAAATTTGTTTGTGGGCCAGGGAAGTGCTTCGAGGATGTCAAGCTAGCTGACCAGGGTTTGATATGGTACTTAGGCCATGGTGGAGAATCTTGCTCTTAGTATGAAGCTTCACAACTGTGTGACTCCGAGGTTGAAGCCTTGGCCCACAATACCACCCCAGTCACTATTGTACATTCTTCTGGGGTGTTCGAGCATAATGTAGCATGGTGTCATTGCCTGGGATCCGATTCCCAGCATGTACAACTCCTAAAAGCAGGACTATTTCCTGCCAGCTTCACCCGTCCAAAGACCACGTTTACCTTTGAGGTATTGGATCATTTTCTCATTGATGCCTTGGAATGCAAGACTTCTGCAAGGAGCTTCTATGAGAAACTCACAAGGCTAACTAATAACGCATTCCAAGATACTGTTCCAGAGAGTTTAAGTGTACTTGATACAGTAGCACTTTCTGAATATCCGGCATGTATTGGCAGGATTGATACTGTGAACTCATGAGAGTATCCCGGCTTTGGTGGGACTTAAAGAACCAAAAATGGTTTGGATTTGGCCATGATGTTAAATCAGAGCCTGGCCCTGGTGATCTTGCTCTTTTTTGCCCTTCTTGTCTGCAGCCAGGAATCAATATGTCTTTGCTTTGGGAGCAGAAGTATGAAAGGCAAGTTGTTTAATTATTAAATGGTCTGGCCGGTACAGCTACTATGGCTGCCAGCTAGCATCCTGGCCAGCAGTCTAGCTGGGAAAGGAAGCTGGCCAGCCTTAGTTCTACCTAGGGTAGACATAATGCTGCCCCAGAGCAAACTGGATGCAAGCCCAGACTCTAAGGTTAAACAAGGCTAATTGTGCATTGCAGGTGGCTGATTATAAGGAGATTGGTCATCGATGGGAACTTCACTGCTCAGCATATGAACATGCGTCAGCCTGAACTAGACATCTTCCTCTCAGATGGTTCAGGTTATATGGTGGCTGATGCTCATTATCAAGCTCACTTGGCCTCAGCAATGGAAAGCAAAGAGGTGAGTCAGCTAATTCATTTTTCATTTTCAGTGTCTCAATGTGTGAGAAGAGGTCCACGTGTAGCAACCATCGGGCAGTCAATGCAGCAAATGCAAATCAAAGCAACCTTCGAGCCACTGGGGTGGGTGCCACAGCTTGTGCTAGGCACAGATGTTTTGTGCCCCACTCAGTAGTAGACTTTCAGAAGGGTGAACGGCAAGTCTTCTTTGATTTATTGCATCATGACATAATATGCTGACAAAATTATGTTAAGCCAAATGAATGTTGATTACTCCATATGTGAGGGTATTAAATACGCTGCCAACTGAATTGATACCTCCCTGGTGATTTATGATGTGGGGTGTCAGTGGAACCTTCACTTTGCAGATCGTGTTGACAACTGCCCTGGCCTAACACTACCTGAAAATGCAGAGATTGTGGCTGCTGTGGGGAAATTTCATCTTAGTGCTCATAAGCTGGCTTGTTTCGCTAGATACAGCCTGAACTTCATTATTGGAGCTGCCCAGGTTGATGGGGAAATTCTGGAGACACTCTGGGCTCCCTTCAACAAGATATCCCCAACAGCTCATTCCATGAGCCAAGCCCACCGTCAAGAAATCCTTGATGACCACATGCGGAATTCAAATTGGAAAAAACTTGTTCATATCGGTGAGTCATATATTTGGTGTCAATAAGACTTTGATTAAATATTATCAGTCAAGACCCTGTTGTGAAAGTACAAAAGAGCAAATAAGGGCATTGATGACACAAAGATTCCATTTGATGATCTTACAAAATCCTTGGATGTCAACAAAGTCATCATGTGGGAAAGTGATGAGAGACAAGCCATGGAACAGCGGGGGGCTCATCTTGATATATACAATCTAAAAATAGATAAAGGTGAGCATTTGAGAGCTTCTACTGGCTTCAGTGTACATTCTGATGGAGGATTTGAAGCACCAACAATGGCAGACATAAGGCTTAAATTAACCAAAACAGAATATGCTGATACCAGCAAATTGGGTTCAGTATCTTGGCTTATTGAAGGTATCAATTTGGAAGATGAGCAGTGAGTCATTTCATTAGCCTCACAATCAACAGCATTTTAATTCAGCCCTAGGGATGCATTACGAGTAGATATTTGGCAGCTTCCCAGAGATGCATCTGCTACTCAAAAGGCTGTGGTCGCAGAGAAACAGCAAAAATTAGCTGTGCATATATCAAAATATCACAAAAAAACTAATGCCATGACACAGGGCATTAAATTAAACTCAGGTACAGTGCCCATGGATGACACCAGATTTTGCGCTGCAGATACTGAGGAGCTAGGGGAAGAAGTTGTAGATGTCGAGTTTACCTCAGAAGAGATCGTTGATGAAGTTCCTACAGAAGTGATGGGTATTTGGATGCCATCATCAGTGCCCCACCAGGATGCTGTGGTCCTTGGCTTGGGTGCTCTACAGATCGAAGAACTCCAGTTACGGCAGGGTCAGACAAATGATTGCCTAGAAAGATTACAACAGGCTCTTGGTCATAAAGCCATCATTTATTGTCAATACTTCCGAAGTGCAGATTCCACCTGGATGGGTACCAGGTCAAAGCAAGATGCTTTTCGGTGACAGATAAAAATAGATAAGTGTGTTCGAAGTTACCAAAGGGCAAGGGATGCCATGCAGAGATGAGGAGTGGATGAAGAAACTCTCAGGGATGTTTATCAACAAATCCAGCCCAGCCAGCTCACCATGAACCAGGAAGTGACTGAAGAGAATAGATATGATCAGGGATCAGACAGACTAGCATGGTTTTGGAGGATCAACAATGGTGGTGATCTTCATGAGGATGCATGGATGAATGAATGTGAGTGGTGCTTAATATTTCATATGTATTCTTACCACAAGAATCAGTCTATAGGGTCAATTGGTTAAAAGCAAAGGCTAGGTGGCAAAGGTGGGAAGAAGAATTAAGTTTGATTTGGCATGAGATGGGTTGGACAGTTGGCTGGTTTAGGCATAAGATGGGTAAATGGGAGAGAAGGTATAAAGAAGCTACAAAGCTTGGGCATAAAGCTTATGCACAACGGCAGGTGCTTTTGTGAGAAAAGTTTGTGCTGGATGCAGAGAATTCATTCAAGGACAAGATGATTGTGGTATCTTAACTATATTGTCACCAGTATACAGCTCTCATTACTCTTCTGCTCAAAGTGAAGTCTGCCCAAAATATGTCCAAGCAACAAGAGGTTTTGGCACAGGCCAGCTTCCCTTTAATTTGATGTCTGGCCAGACAGGGTCTAAGGGCCAGCTCCCTCTCATTTGATGTCTGGCCAGTACAGGTCCTATGTGTCTGGCCTGACAGGGTCTAAGGGCCAGCTCCCTCTCATTTGATGTCTGGCCAGTACAGGTCCTACCTGTCTGGCCGGACAGGGTCTACGGTCCAGCTCCCTCTCATTTGATGTCTGGCCAGTACAGGTCCTATGTGTCTGGCCTGACAGGTTCTACGGTCCAGCTCCCTCTAATTTGATGTCTGGCCAGACAGGTTCTAGGGTCCAGCTCCCTCTCATTTGATGTCTGGCCAGTACAGGTCCTACGTGTCTGGCCGGACAGGGTCTACGGGCCAGCTCCCTCTTATTTGATGTCTGGCCAGACAGGTTCTAGGGTCCAGCTCCCTCTCATTTGATGTCTGGCCAGTACAGGTCCTACATCTCTGGCTGGTCAGGGTCTACGGGCCTAGCACTCTCTCATTTGATATCTGGCTAGCAATGGTCCTATGTTCATAGCTGATACCTAGTATATAGCTAGTCATATATTACTGTACATGCCTCTACATGCTGGCCAGTACCACATATACGTGAATTTAGTACAGCTAGCCAGCCTCTGGCTGCACAGCTTCTATGACCTTTTGGCACGTCCGGGGTACAGGTTCTACGTTGGGTTTTGACTGAATGGTCTGTTGGCATCATGGGGTTATTCATGGTGGGGGCTGATAGGGTCGGATAGAGGGAAGGATATGTGTTTCCTACGATGTTTGCTGACATTGGATTGGGTGGTGTTGCTGTTCGGAATGGTGTTCGGTAGGTTGGTGTGCTGAGTTGTTGAACACTTTGCACTTTGAGCCTCGTGATGTCTGTGTCCCTTGCACGCTCCTTATCCAGATCCTTGCGACCCCTCTTAAGCTTGACGCTTGGTACGCTCTGCACATCATCTATGAAGTCATCCCAACTATCGTAGTCACATTTGAGGTGGTCCTTCAGTAAGTCTGGTATACCTTTGACCACGTATTCAATTAGATGTCCTGCTGTATCTCCCATTCCCAGGGCAAGACACAACACTTTGCTTGCCCAAGTGATGTGTCCGTAGTTGCCCTCTGCCCATACACCAATCTCGTCCTCCTCTAGCAGCTCTGCCATGACCTGTTCCTTCTGCTGTGCCTGCGTGTACTTGGGTTGTTTGGGAGGCGGCCAACATTTGCAGAATGTGAGTTTGAGGCCTGAAAACATGAAGATTTTCCTGGTTGTAATGTCCTGGAACCATTCTTCCGCTATGTTCCCTGGAGCTAATTGCATTTTGAAGCGGCTAATTCACTGCGAATCGTTCCAAGATGCTGGCATTGACAGCTCGAATTGGGCGAACCATTCTGTTGGCTCTTCTTTGTTTGCATAGTCCCCCCAAAACAATGGCACTGTTCGTGGGTTCTTGCTAGCCATAGGTAACAGTGATGAACTCGACTGTTTCCTGATGGGTAGTGCTATGGGACGTGTTGCTGTGAGTGAAGAGATTGTTGTTGGAGAGGATGATGTGCTATCGTCTTGACTTGGGGTGAAGTGAGCTGGTTGAAGGAGGAAGGTAGGGCTTCCGGTTTCTTCCTTCAAGGGTGAGTCTGGTGACCCTTGGTATTCTAGTTGACAGGGTAATGAAAAGATGTGACAACGTGGAGTGAATGGTGTTTGATTGCTTGGATATGCTGGAAAAAATGTTGGTCTAGTGGGGGATAAACTCGGGTTTCTGCTGGTGCTAGTGTCCCTGTAGGCATGAGTCCACGAAGTCTTGTGCACATATCTAAGTTGATTCGTCCTGAGTCTGAGCTTTCTATACTGTTAGACAGTGAACTGGGTCGCTGCCCACTCTCATCACCAGATGGACACGCCAGCACTGCATTCTGGAAAGGACAAGGACAACTGAGATGCTGATGTCTGCTGGGCTACACGTGACTAGCTACAACCAAAGTCCCCCAGGGACTGCCGAACCCCCTGGCACCCCTGCCTCTTCGCTCTGCTGTCTCCCGCCAGCCTATCTCTGCTCTGCTCCTGCACCCAACACAACTACACCTGACAAGGTGTACCACTACACCATGCCCAAAAAATTTGGCTCACCTGAACTCAACAAATTTGTTGCAATAGTTGAGGTGTAAAATGCATTAACCCAATGTGTAGGTGCCCCACGCTCGTTTTCAGTAGATTTGACTAGAGTCACCTTTGATTTGCAAAAAAGTGTAGTTGCTAACAATACCAGATACTGCGATGTACTGTCAGAAAACATTGTAAATTGTGAGCATGATCGCGAACTAACCTGCAACACTGCACCACAGCATGCTCGGTACGATGATGACCAAGACTGATTGCCATACAACATAACATTGATAAATCTTCCGAGTCAGCCGGATGGTTTTGTGTGAGCTTAGAGGCATTTAAGCTGCTATAAAAGTATGAACTCACCAATACCCCGTCACCCAGTAAAGTTTGCAAGCCATATAACACATTCCCAATAATAAATATGTATTGAGAAGGATTGGCAAAGAACTGCCACTGGCCCACCCTGGAATGTGTCGCGATACTTCACTAGTCCATCTTCAATGTGAATGATATTCACGATGATATGCTTTGAGAAAGTCAATACATGGCAATATATGTAAGAGGAAAGAAGCACTTACCGCGGTACTCAATATAAATAGCAGGATGACCACCACAATAATTGTGTGATTGACATCCTGTATGCGCAGTTTGTAGGCCAAAGCCCATACAGTACCGATAAACATGAGGATTGAGATTGAAAAACCTAGGAAAGTGATTTTAGCTTGGTGGGCATAGGACGAAGGAACTGCATGTGGTGCTCACCATATGTCATGCCCTCTAGTGCTAATGATAGTAAACATGCAGCATCCAATGACATGTTTGAAGCCATAAGATCTGCAGCCATCTATAGCCTGGTAGATGCATGAAGGTGTGGGGGCATATTTGCTAACCCCACGCATATACATCATTCTATAGAAGGACAAAATTATCAAAATGCCTTGGTAATGGCCACCATCAGAGAGAGATTAATTTGAAAGTAATTATTCAGTTCTCCATTACTACTAGTAGCTTCGGTTATTCCTGCTACCGTAGGGCCCGGTGTAGTGATGGTCGCAGCGTTGGGCTCGAAACCACGTATTTTCATACTCACATCAACACCCGAAACATATGCGCACATGTCTGATGCACTTTCGCACATGTCTGAGCCACTCCGTATCGGACCTTCGGACATTGCATTGGCTGATCGCACTTCGCACGCACTTGTCCATCCCATGTCTTGTCCATCCGAACTAGCCTCACTGGGTGCGTAGCTAATCCCATGCACGTTTTCTGACATTCGGACTGCGTTATTACATGTCCGCAGCACCTCGTGTCTTATTACATAGGACATCGGACCCAAAATATATCACTACTATCTTCGCCTGTAGTTTTCCAAATTTCTACGTACTTACTTAAATACTCTGTAGTGACCCGTAGCAATCATCATCCAGTAGTTAGGAGCTGTTTCCCGACTCTGCGGATCACCCAGAATATTCTCGTAGTTCTTAGTTGCATTGCGAAATATTATCATTTGTTCACCATCATACTCCGTCACTCGTTATACTCGCGCATACTGCTCGCAACCCGACACTCGTTATAAAGTTTCCGACTCATTATTGGGAAGTCCGAAAGTCCAAATCTCGGACATCGCACTTTGGCTTCGGACATTGGATAAGTACCTTCGGACATTGTTTCGCACCATCAGACATTTTGTTATTTGCATTACTGACACATTTTTACTACTAATACCAATTAGCAATCCCTTTAGGATCGAATGCACTTGCTCTGCAAGTATAGCAGCATAGGTCGTGCTAAGATCTACCTAAATATTTGTTGTCTAGGTAGTACAATTTCTGCTGAGCCCAGCAGAAATCAGCTTTCTACACCGGGGAGCTTAGTCTGATTTGCAACCTCTTTAGTGTTTGTGAGCAGTGAACACCGACTTAACTAGTACTGCTGCGTAGTATGGAAGAAAGGACACATAAACATCAAGTTTGCCACTGATTCATGTACCCATCGCTCGAATATGACCCCACTAATTATTAATGATAGTTCAGATATCTTTTTGAGCTATTGGATTATTTGGATAGGTTCGTGGAGTGCCATTTTGATGATCCAGGGATTGAACATTCGCTGCGGTCTTGCAGTTGCCTCCTCTGCTATTGCGATATATGACTGGGGTGAGTAAGAGTGTCGAATCCACCTGAAATATCATTTGTATCCATATGATCGTTCCAGCCCTGATATTTGGACAAGAGGTAGGCGTACTATCCATCGCCGGAGCAGTGATCTTGCTTAGAATGACATTATAGGTTGAAATGGTTTGGGTAAGCTGAGTTCCGTATCAGAAGGTCGCAATGATTAATTCAGCACAGGGACCAACGCTGGTCCTTTATGACTATTTTATATCTCATCGTCCGTAGCCTATGTTATAAGTGCACTTGACGTGTTAAACTGACTTTAATATTCTAGGTGCGCTATATTGAAATACCATACATTGCATACGTGAAAGCCAATGAATTGTTGCTGCACTGATGAGTCATATTTTCACAATCAATCAGCATGAACCTACTGCGTATGTCTCTCTGCATGCATTGCCTTGTTTCTTTTGACTGGTGGCTTATAGAAAATCTTCCATTGGTCTTGGTGACAAATGCAGTAAGTATTCTGTTTTGACGTCTGCCACTCCCATCCAACTGACTGGATGTCTATGCAGGTGTGAGTAATATTCTTGATCAGAATGTTGATTCAATGCAATAACTCCAATAGCTGTGAGTTTTGTTAATCATTTCGCACTCCAAGACTCCCACTGACTAGGGTTCTAGGCGAATATTTTTTCTCTGCACAGCTTATGATGTATGTAGTCGTGAATGTCATGGTGGGTGGTGAGCTACTTTGATATTATATCACCTCAGTGACTCAAACATTGTGCAAGCCATCGCCATCACTTGGTTACATGCAATGTATCAGCGATCGAAGAAGATGCTTATCTTTCTTGTTGTCATATTTCTGGCTGTCACTCTCGCCTGCGTGGTGATCGCCATAATGCGCTAAGACATATTTCAGGGGGTAATCATGCAGGAATGACTTCAATGCACCAGGCTCATTGCACACATACCAGAGGAACTCATTCTCTCCAGCACTTATCAGTGTATTATTGTTTTAGATGAAGGCGCCACTGCTTCTGATAGCAATGATTTGGCCACTCACCATGGTATGGGAGATCCTCGCACTGTGTCTTGCAGTCTGGATTGCGGTAAAACACTTCTGTGAGCTGCGGCAAATACCAGGAAGAGGGATCATCCGGGATTGCTTCACAGTGTTGATACAAACTCACTTATTCTACTTTGCAAGGTAGGCTTGTGATATCATTGCAGTCACCTTTTTCACTGAAGTTCTGCACATGCCAGTTTCATTGCTGTTTATTCTCTAAGCCTCATGGTACACCAATGTGTCAACTGATGACCACCTGTTCATGGTTTATGTAGGACTCATTTGTGGGAGCCAAGACGTCTGACGGTCTTCGTGAAATTTTCTTGGTCATGCAGATATTTGTACTGGGACCACACTTTATCTTCAGCATTAGAAAATTTCACGCAAAGCTTGTGGCCAGCTCCGACGAAGTAACCGATATGACTTCAATTGCTTTCCAGGAGCGTGTACATGTATCAATGAATGGTAATGTGTAGAGCGGGAGATGTTCTACCTGATCAATCTTACTAGAGGGGAGCAGGAGAATCACTGGGGTACTTATAAGATAGTTGAGTTCGAAAGGGAAACAGGTTTGGGGCGGATTGATGTGATCATGTTGCTTCATTACTGGAACCATACTAAGAAACTAATAGCAAATTTGGTTTCGCTTGACGATCTTAGTTTTAGTAAATGTACTCGCAGGTGCCAAGATTCTGTCCGTTGACAATAACATCTAGGTGTTCTAAGTTGCAGAACAAGCAAGGAGGAGCAATTGCCCTAGAGCACAACAGTTGTATATAATGCCACAAAATGTAGACTGCAGGATGATGTATATCTCCTTGCCTCTCAATCCTATCCTTCTAAGCTGAGGAAGGCCACTGACCAGAGTGGGGAATAATGGCCAACCCTCCATATCCGCTTCAAATGCGACATGAAATTTGAGATCCATAAGGTTACTACAGGATAATGGCGCCAATAAATATTTACATACTTTGTACCATCCATCATGGTATAGATGGGACAGCGCACGTGAGTAGTGATGGCCAGGTCCGGTTCTAAACTGTGGTTTGAACCTGAACCATTTCAAACCTGACTGAAGTCCGGTTCAAGGTTCGGGCAATAGGGAGGACCGAACTGTTGGTCCTGTCCGCAGTTCAGGGACTTGCGGAATTGCAGAACCAGTTCTGAACAGGTTCGGACCTGTTCAAACTGATGGCAAGTTGTCTGTGGTGAAGCCTTCAGTAGAAGGTGCAAGATAGGTAGATGGAGCGGGTGGCTCAAGGAGATCTGGGTTGATCGATAATGGTGGCCCTGGTGGTGGAGGTGCTGCACTCGATGCTGCACTCTCTGTTGCTGGGGAAATGGAAGATGAGACGGCTGTTGTGGTGGGCCAGAAAACATGTGTGCCCTTCGACTGATTTGGCATTAACTGCTCCATGATCTCAAAGTGGTCAAAGCCCCTTGTCATAAAGGGCTTTGCATGAGGATGTGACTAAAGATAATGTTATTAGATAGCATGAGATATATTGCAGTACTTACCTTGGTAAACCGTGCCCAGACATCATCCTTTCGATCGGCAATACCTACTCCATGCTCATCACTCCATGTGAAACCCGAAGTGCACTTTATCTCAATGACACTGTGATATGCTTTCTTTAACTATAAAGATATATAATGACATTGGTGGTGGCAGAAAGGCTCACTAGACACACTGTTGTCCATTTATTCTTACAAACTAGACCAGTCTTCTCTGCGCCCCTCTGCTGTGTAAATTTTTCCTTAAGGTGGGTAGCTGCCTGATTAAAGGTGGGCATCTTGAAGCCCCCATCGCCTGAGGAAGGAAGGGCCTTCAAGAGAAACTCAAGAAAGGCAGTTTCCTCTGCCTTTGACCACACTGCAGGGGCCTTACGGGATGTTCCAGATGCTGCCGCTGCTTCAAGAGTACCTTGGGAGCGCAGGGAGTGAGTAGATCCATTGCTGGATCTATCAGACATTTCGACGGTGATAAAATGATCAAAGGTATGTGTATATGACAAAGATTAGTCAGTTGTTGACAGGCACCTGGCAACACGTGCCATCATCATGTGTTGTTTTCAACCGCAATTTTCGAACCAGGGTTCGCTGTCCAAACAGCACCTTAGTAAGCGGTGACAGTCAGGTGGCCTCGTAACACTTGGTTGATTTCAAAATGCCTAATCAGGTAATGTCATGTGCTGTGACATTTGGACAGTTTTGGAGATGACGCTGATGATTGTTGCGATGCTTAACAATATACAGACTCCAACCCGTCACCTGTGGGGAGAAGTCTCAGTATGTAGTTTAAGTGTAGTACTTATAGGCGGAGATGACGAAACATTTGGTATCCATATCATACATAATGCAAAAAGAATAGTTTGGAATGCATCAGCATAAACAAGGGTAGAATCACCAGTAACTGTATCATGGGCACTGGATGAGCTGTGGTGGTGGTGGAATAAATACCTGAGAAGTGTGCTTCTTTGCGGTTCTGAGGAGTGGGAATGGCCTTGTGCAGAGGACTGAGAACAAAGAGGTCAAGACAATGAAATTGAAGTGATAGTGATGATGCACGTAAGCTGGTGAGACTCCATCGAAAAAACCATGGAGTACCTGATGAGCAGGTGGACGTCATTGGACTGGAGGTTGTGTAGCATTAGCCAGGATTGATCGCTATGACGTTGTTTAGATGTGTGATTCTCTGCTCAGGAAGGAAAATCAAGGAAAATGAGAGAAAGAATGCAAAAACAAAAGACACGCAATTGCAAATGAGACCATACACAGGAAAGCTATAGAAAGTCTTCGTATTGTCTGGAGGCGGCAGCTCATGAGTCGCACTGCGATTGTACTCCTGTATGACACCTGGGTCTGATTCAGAACATGCAGGTGCCAATGCAAGCCAGGAGAGTGCAAGTGCTGAGCACAAGTACTAAGCGAGTGAAAGTAGCATTTAGTATTACATGATGCCATCTGTTGTTGGGCATGTTTCAATATAATTTTTCTTGACGAAATTTTTATATATAGTTTGGATGGTCCAGTCCATGGTTCTCCTAATTTCCTGGAGAACCGAACCGAACCGGACTTTTCCATCACTAGCAGTACTCAATATAAACAGCAGGATGGCCACCACAATGATTGTGCGATTGACATCCTGTATGCGTTGTTTGTAGGTCAAAGCCCACATGGTACCGATAAACATGAGGATTGAAAAACCTAGGGAAGTGACTTTAGCTCAGTGGGCATAGGACGAAGGGACTGTTTGTGGTGCTCACCATATGCCATGCCCTCCAGTGCTAACGACAGTAAACATGCAGCATCCAATGACATATTTGAAGCCATAAGATCTGCAGCTGTCTACAGCCTGGTAGATGCACGAAGGTGCGGGAACATATTTGCTAACCACATGCATATATCATTATATAGAAGGACGAAATTATCAAAATGCCATGGTAATGGCCCATCAGAGAGAGGTTGATGAAGGCAATCCAAGAGGAACCTGCTCAGGAAAAAATGTACATGAGGCCACCTTACGCCGTTAACATCACTTATGTCAAGAAATTTACGGTGGCACTCAGCCGAAAGGCCACGGGAGGGCACGTGACACCGATTGATTACCTTTTCGAGGTGAGACTAGCACACACCCTGAGGCTCTTGAATAGCCTGAGCCTCAGAGAGATTTGGCGGAGGAAGCACGGAGTTTGAACATTTGGTTGCCAATTGTGCCAGCAGTACTGAACACCCATGTACCAGTATGCCGCAGTCTTCGTGCCTACTATTCATGCATATATGCTATGATTGCGGCCTTGGCGTTTCTGTTTCCGCAATGTCCCTTGCTGCGAGCGCTAGATGCACTTGAAAATCCTCCGACGGATTTCGATCCCTTAGACATCCCAGCACCAGAACATTGTAGACATTTTCTCCCCAGGCCAACTCAAATTTCTTGCAAAAGGAACGAAACAACCACGGGCACAACACTGGCAATGGTTCTTCCCTTGCTGCTCTCTCTCAACAAGATAACAATCACTGTCACACCATTGAAGCTTTTGCAAAAGATCATGTGAGTTTTACTTTTCTGGATCTGCCTGTAGAAACAATGAATTTGTCTACCCTATCATTTACTATCATCTGCAAGTCACGGAGTATTTCCGGGATAGCTAGAACTTCTCCATCTTCGCTGAGGACAGGGTGGTCCATGGTCCATGCCAGAGGTTCAGATGGCTGATGATAGTACAATATCTGCGGGAAAAGCGCATAAAATGTAGTGATGGAAAAGTCCAGTTCGGTCCGGTTCTTTAGGAAATTCAGAGAACCAAGAACCGGACCTATGGTTCGGTCCTCTCAGTAAACAGAACCATGAACCAGACCATCAGTTCAGTCCAATAATGGTCCTGGTTCCGGTTCAGTGAGGGTTCGAACCAAGAACTGAACCGAACATCCTCCCCCCCTTATTCTCCGATCTTCAAGATGCAGCTCGTGAAGGGCCTATCATCAGTGCTCATTGGAAGCAAGTCATCTTGCTATGTCATTATCATCTCACACAAGCAAACTCCAATCAACATCCAACTCTCTACCAGCATTGAGAAGCTCCAGATATTGATGGACAAACTCCATCGCACAGATAGTCCAGCGCTCAAAAAAGCCTTGATGGAGTTGTGGGATGATGTTGTCCGCCTGGTGGTTGAGAATCTAGATGGAATTGCACCATGAGGTTCTCGAATATGGTGGTGGCCGAGATCTGTCTTCAATTTCTTGCTGTTGCACACCACTGGCGAGTACAGGCAACAAGGACAGTTCCTTTCACAGCTCTACATCTTTTCATACACGCCATCGCTCACCGCGCTGATTAAGGCTCGCAGAAGTAATGAAAGGTCCCCTTCAGTACCCTTTGTTGCTGTTGGTCAGGATCACCCAGCCGGTGCCTCATTCACTTTGGATGCTGTGGAGCCTGAACTGGAATTAGTGTGAAACCCTCTGCCCCCTCCCCCAGCTGTTTCGTTCTCTAAGATCACCAGTGTGGATGCTACCAAATCGAGAGCACTGTGCGCATTGTGAGACAATACTTGGCTCCATCTTGCGTGTCTGGGACACAGAACATTGCCGAACCCTTCAAGTTGGCCTTTCTTATGCACAACGAGCCGCTTTCACTCCTTGACATCACACAAACAGATTTGTCTCGGCATCAATTTGCATTTCTTTCTGCCTGCAAGACCACAGTGGGTGACCGTAATACTCCTGATGAAGTGATACACCTAGCGGCTGGCTTGCAGTTTGCCGGTGTCAAGAGCGTTATTGGAACATTATGGAAGGTCAATGATAGTACGGTGGAGCACTTAGTCAAGGCATTCTACAAAAACTTTTGTGGGGATGGCACAATGAACTCTAAATGAGCTGCTCGGGTGCTGCACCGAGCGGTGTATTCGCTAGGTTCTAACCAAGACATACCTTTGGACCAGCGCATATTGATTGTGCATATTGGCATATGATCAATACCGTGCGTCTTCCCACCTTGCTGATCAAAGTATTTTTGATGACTTTGCATGTAGCATCCAGTCATGGCCATGCAAAACTTGGACTTTGATATTTTAGATTTTGACTATGGTCCGGTTCTCGTTGGGAAGTACAAAAACATCGACTAACAGACCCATGACAGCATCAAGGCCTTGCAGTGGTTCGAACCTGTTCAGAACTGGTTCTGCAATTCTGCAAGGCCTCGAACTGCAGACCGGACCAACAGTCCGGTTCCCCCTATTGCCCGAACCTTGAACCAGACTTTGGTCAGGTTCAAAACAGTTCAGGTTCGAACCGCGGTTCAGAACTGGACCTGGCCACCACTAATAAAATGGTATCATTGTAATGTCCTATCTGGAGTTCAATACTCAAGTTCATGTGCTATCGGAAAACCTTCAAATTCTGTGCTTCCCTGCCAAATCTCTTCGAGATTAACCAGTCTGCCTACGTCAAAGATCACACCATCTCAAAAAATGCCCGTAGGCAGAATGGTTAAGAGTCTACCCTGGAATTACAAGTAGCTCGGAGCACACCAGCGGCTGCTGATCGTGTGCATGCCGGCAAGTCTTGGTTTTTAGCCGATACAGTGGGTTTTGCCAGCCACGGTTGAATCAAGCAATCTAAAACCACTCAAGCACGGCTAACAGAATGACATTGCCATATCTCGGTTTTATCGCCGCCATTATGTGAGCGCTTGCCTTCAATCGCTTGATACTAATGCCTAGCTAAAGTGTCTGGTACTTTATAAATATCAGAAGTTAATTGGCCGTGAAAAAATTCTTAGATCTCGCCACTCAGTGTGCACTACTAGCATGTTTCTGAGAACACTTGTTCGAGCTGGCGTTGCGCTATTACTGGCAGCTAGCATATCCATAACTCGCGCTGTCTCTCTTGTCAAGGACGATCTTGATACTACCGTGACCCAGGAAGCGGGACACGTCGAGCTTCAATCCGAGGCTCACAATGCAACTGGCATTCGTTTTGTCAAGAACTCAGGAATCTGTGAAACAACTCCAAATGTGAACCAAATTTCTGGTTATATTGAGGTTGGAACAAACATGTCCATGGTATATCTCCGTTCCCTGCCAGCTGCTCTGGATATATTCTGACTTGGGACACAGTGGTTCTGGCTCTTCGAGTCTAGAAATTCACCTAAAACAGCCCCATTCACTCTATGGTAAGTTGCTGGGAAGCTGTTCGCCTAAGTACCTGAATTAAGTCGCACCTCTGAACTGCCTTCACAGGTTGAATGGCGGCCCTGGATGTTCTTCTATGGTCGGATTGTTCCAAGGTTGATTGGTTTATCTGCCTTTAATCACTCCTAATTTCTTACAGAGAACGGGCCATTCTAATTGAAGCCTCACAAAAGCCAGAAGCATCCACCAAACTATTGAATATGAGAGTACTTCAATGATGATCTTTGCACTCTGTCTGGGTGCTGAAGGATCAAGTTTGCTAGGTCAGTGAGAGGATGGCCTGTCGAGTAACTGCTGCTGCTTCCGGGAAAATGAAGGGGAGGGAGGAAGTATGACAGTTCCTAAGGACAAGCCGAGTATGTGGGTCGAAACATAACCTGGTGGAGAGGGATTAAGAGGTGCATATCCTATGAGAGTAACAAGTTATATGCGGCAAGGAGATCAAGCCCTCTTTGTTCGCTGAAATGATGTTACTCCATGAAGCGTTGAGCAGAAAGTCTTTCATTCCTCCAGGTGTCTTAAGCAGGCATCTGATTCAAGTTTCTTATGGACGGCCTGACTATCACTTACACACTCCAATCCAGAGACCCAGCAGAGCGACGGGGATATGCAAGATGATGGGATGCAACAAGACCTCAATGATAGGCAAGAGCGTAAGTGTGAGGAAGAAATTCCAGTGTACGCCGTACTCTGTCACATGTTCCTGGTTGTAGCTGTTAAGTGGTGGGTGTGACATGAAGTCTATGTAAGACCCTACAGGATATTTGGTGCCTTTCACGAGCACAACGTGAAGAATGCCTAACACGATGATAAGTATCATCTTATGGGAGACAGACTTGAGTTTAGGAAGGATCGGAGCCTGGAGGTAGGATATATCTTTGATGATTGGAATCGCAGACACCACACCTTGAGAGAATACAAACGAGCCAACACCGATGTCCATCTATAAATCAAATTGTGTGAAAATTGAAGAACATGATATATGTTCCAGATGCACCAAAGAAACACCATATGTCTCACACTTTGCTAGAATACGGGGAACACTGAAAAATCAACAGTGAGAATACACAGAATTGTCATCAACATCATATGAGCATGGTAAATGGTCAAAGCAGGCAAGGGTCTGATGGACTCGGATTGAGATGAGTGTGCCGGTGGAGTGTCTGCTCAACTTCTTCCATTTTGCGAAGCCAGCTCGTCCCGACTTTCAGCCGGTAAAGGTGTGCCTCTTTCAAGAGGGGGCAGAAGGAGTAAAACAAGCATTGGTACGAGTAGTAGGAAAGACAATGCACCAGGAGCTTCCGCGGACAATGTCATAGACAATAACAGAGGCATGGCAAGTATCACAAACTCTGCCAAGAAATATGGGGATCCAAATGCTTGAACACGCGAACGCAGTGCTGAATGAAGGGCGATCGAGGACTAAAGATGGTTAGCTTGCTGAAGTGGAAAGACACGTAGAAATACGCACCAATGCAACACCGCTTATCATATTTACATGAAATACTGTTGAGCCAGTCATTCCAGAGACAAAAGCCTCCTTCGAGGCCTTGTAGTCATTCATCGTGACCTGCAAGAATATGGTCAGTTGCTAATTGTGGTCTGCAACACCATATAATGTGCCAGATCACAGCAAGCTGCAAGGTGTATGTGCCGCCAACTTGAAGAGCCAACTTGTAGGGTTTTGTGGCGGTTACGAAAAGGTTCAGCCGCACACGGGTACGATCGAAGGACTAGAACGCTCCAGACTCGGCTAACATCAGTAGCCGAGGACCGTATGTTCAAGTGTATGTTTATTTTCTTGTTATTTGTTATTCTATTTTATCATGGACTCCGTACACTCCCTAGTATATAATATCACGTGTTTGTATGAAGTCCCCGGATTTCTTTCAATCACAACTAGGCTTGTATCTGGTTAACATTGCAAAGGAGCTCTTCAGTTATCGTTGTGCCGTCATCTAAAGTTTGAAAGGGAGTAATGAGTGACCTGTTACTGTTCCGGAATTGATCGGTTCCCAAACTCAAGAAGAACAAGGTATGTGCAAGGTGTCGTTACTTAGTCATGCCTGACCCCCAGGACCTCCTCGCTCACATGTAACATGAAACATTTAATAAGCCAGACCGAGGCACTATATAACATTCAATCTTTTGAGCACGTTAATATGTGTGCCCGCAATGCACTCGCTGCAAACATTTGTTGACAGTTTCCACACAACTCTAACAGCCCAATATGCTCGTAGGGTGTTATCCCTCTGCCCTCTGCAAGTGAATGCAATACGTCCTGCTCCTTCAAAGATGTTGGACTTGCGAGCTCGATGTGTGTATCATCAGCAACACTAGGGAGCCTGAGAGTGATGGATGGGCGGCGGATTTGATGCTGTAGTAATATCTTATGTGTAGCTGTGGCAGAATCAGTGTCAAAGTATTTTATTGTTCAAATGTAACTTTATTTACCTGAAAATTGACGACGAGTACGAACAGCGCCACCTCGCTGAGGCTGTACCAATGCTGAGTTTGTTGGGGTGCCGCAATAATCCTCGAAGTATGGAAAAAGTTCTACATGTCCATTGGGTGTTGCTGCAACTTGGTCATGGTGCACTCACAACACCAAATCACACAGATCTATCAGCTGATGATGGTTATGATACGCTAGTTGTGAGTAATAAGGGTGAGCAGAAAGACATCAAAGCATGCTGCAGGAAATGACATACCCCGTGTAAGAACATGTGTATACCTAGACTCGAGAAGAGCAGTATCTCAAGCCTCACTAAGATTTACTTGAAAAACATGTTAAAATACATTAAATATGAGGAGACAGAGAGAACACATACAGGAAAAGCCACAGTGGCTCAGAGATTGATGGCAATATGCCATTGAATGGCCCCAATCATTAGTTTCAAAGCGCACTGGAGTGCATTGCTCCATCACGAGAGCACAAAAGCACTCCCAGATAACCCTGCGACGGAGAACCCAGTCCTTGAGCTGGCGAGCGAGAATACGATCCCTGGTGACTCTGTTAATTGGGCTAACTACAAGTCAGCTAATGATGAGCAAAACAATAAAATTGTGACACACTATGCTATTGAAACCATTTCACCAAGCTCATGGGAGAAAATACTAAGCTCTGTGTTGGCACACTGGAGGGCTCGGGATACACGGAAATTTTCTGGATAGGTTTTCATGATGAAGCGGAATATAGGAGAAGATAGTGGATGAGTGGTATTCATTGCTCTTATATAGTACTACCTGGCTGACCTTTTGAAACGAAAAAACTGCAAGTCCCCCACTGATGGCCACAGTACAGCCCATCTGAGAGTCTCAATTGAAGACCCTGGAAAGACACTGTTAGTGACTTGCATCAGAGTCAAGCGGCACACAATTTCACAAAATTCCCTGGTAGCTAAATCTGTTGCCTTGATGGAGGCCCAGGTGGTGTCACAGTGATGTTCATTGAGTGCGAGAGATGATAAGCGGTGCAGCAGTAAGGGACAATATGGACTTTGAAGCAGGGTAGGCTTTGGCAAGTGAGTGACCGTTGCAATGGAGTGTCATGGATTGGGTGACTATTGTGCAGTGGTTCCCAATGCTGGTAACTTTGAGTTTGATAACACAACAGCAATTCCGTGTTTGATAATACGACAGACCTTCATCCACCAACAAGCCATCAAAAAAGAAATTGAGACTGGCAACTTCACATTCAATAATGCAACAAAGTGAGTGACTGTCACACTGTGGCACAGTGGCCCTGGCCAATGCTGGTAACTTTGAGTTTGAGAACGTGACAGCAATTCTGTGTTTGATAACACGATCATCAAAAGACCAATGTCGTAGTGATGGTTGCTGAACGCTCACAGGAAGCACTAAATGATATTAATGATGTCTGAACAAGGAAATTATCCAGGAGTCATGAACCTTGTGGTGCTCTTGAGTCTCAAGTGTCTGAACATTGGCCGGCACAATCAAAGTCCAAACATTGTTGACCATATATTAAGAGGTGCGTAGAACTGGCATATCTAGTGGTATGTCACACCTTACTGAACTTCAGCGCTCTGCTGTTCAGAATGCACAAGCTCTCCTTGAAAGTGCTGGACTGTCACCTCGTGACTTGGATTCAGTCTCACCATCGCCATCACCTTCACCTTCAACAGATATTCATGTTGCTTCAATGCCGCTTCATCTCTGCACTGGGACTGCACCAGCTATCCAACATGCCCGATTAAATGCTGCTATCAGCACATACTATATCCCACCTCCTGCACGTGTTACAAGAACATCTAGACGCTTGGGCCCCTACTATTTTTCTCCTGATCCTCCTCGTATCAGCCCTTGCATCATACCCTTACCCCGACCTTACCCTTGTCATCCTCGTCATCCTCGCATTCCCTTTCGCCCTCTACCTGTCGCTTCAGCAAAGCCAGTACATTTGGCCGGATCCTTTCGCTGACGAAGCATACCCATGCTCCGTTTCACCACCTGACTAATCCTGTGGATAGTCCCCTTGCCCTTACCGTCTGGACGGTAACCTATGACAAGATGCACGACGCATCCCCTTTGCCCTATTCCCTTTCTTGATCTCTGACTTGGTGCGCAGTCGCACATGCGACTTATACTTAGATCCGCAGCTGCACGATCGTACCTCTGCGTGTTTCACTTCTTATTTCGATCTTTGACTCACTTTCTTATCAGGCACGTTCTACCTCGACCAAACGTGCCTTCCTGTTATGATTATACCCTTTACCGATTGCCTCTCCCGGTAGTACGAGTTATCACCCACTAATATGTCTCCTGTCCTCTATATAAACTCGCTACCATGTACTATATTCCACAACTTGAATCTACTTGGTTCTTGACCTCCTACTCTCACCAGAGTGATCCTTCTGCCTCGCCAGCAGTCTATATTCTATCTTCTTATCTGCTCTTCGCGGATAAGCCTATAGTCTCGACCTTTACTCATCGACTTCGTCAACGAGCAAAGCCCCTGTTAACTAGTCGGACTTCTGTCCTTCTAATTAACGACGATCCTTACGATTAACCTTCGGGTGTCGTAAGCCTAGGCCGATATAGCTTATCGTCTCGCACCCGCGTGACATAAGCTACCCGATTTGGACATAGGCGTCAAATCGTACTTGCCGAAGACACGCCAAGTACGACCCCTAACCTTGGGCTAGCCCAAGGACGTCCACAGACCGTTGACGACACAAGCTCTGTTTGAGCGTCGCCAACAGATACCATCCAAGTCGTAACAGCACGACCTTTTACAGATGAAGAACGTGTACAAGAACTTCATCATGTCACATGCAGGACCTCTGCACATTCTGTCATCGAACATCTGGTTGGTGCCATCATTGAATATCCACAAACTGGACAACATGAGAACAAATCTGTCGCATACATCTTCCACATTGATCCAACTACTTCCGAGTCTTTTCTCCGTCCTCAGTCAAGTTTTCAGTACTCCTTGGGTGATGGACATGGGGGACAGATAATCAGTCAATGTCTTATGCTTCGCAATGCTCAAGGACACCCTGTTTCATGTGCCAACCTCAAAACATCTTGTACGAGTCTTTTTTCTTTGTTGGTTAATACCTCTCACATATCTATTCAGGTAGAGGCCTTAAGATTTGCTCAGCACATAAGCGCGACATCTTGGCAACACATCACTCTACTAATATTTTTGTCATTTCATCTCATTTTCAGACTGTGTCTCAGACAGATTCGAACAGTCCTGCCAGCATTGCTAGTAGGGAAATCTTTGAACGAACACTGGCATTATACATGGCCTTGTACGAACGGGGCTGCTCTGCAATAGATGGCATTGATGACCACCTTGTTGAGAGTGTGATGGATGAGCCAGATGGTATCTCAGCTGATGAATATGTCAACAGTGCGACCTTTGACGATAATTCAGATGGTATGGATTGCTTGCCGTCGAGTCGTCGAGTCAAGAAGCCCAGGTGTAGCGGAAAACTTATCATGCAGCTCGATGCCTATAATCAGCCATTTGTCCAGTAAGTCTATTTGTGAATTCTTTTTGCAATAGTCTGACTGATATGTAACAGCTGCAAGTTGCGCTCACACACTCGCCGCACCCACCTGTTCATACGGAATCTGCAAGAATGCAATACACGTTACCTGCAAGCTCTCCTTGATGACAACCACATCATTATTTCAGAGTGTGAGCAATTAGCGAAGTCACAAGGATATGGTCCACTCTTGCCATGCAGTTATGTTACAAGCCCATCCTCCCAAAGGCAAGTTTGTCGTGAGTTTTTGCTTCCTCTAGTATTTACATTGTCAAATTCATCTTTGTGCACTAGCATACCTCCACCGTCAAGCAGACAGCAAGCTCAAACAAGGTGTTACGACTTGGATGGTATCTGTTGGCGACGCTCAAACAGAGCTTGTGTCGTCAACAGTCTGTGGACGTCCTTGGGCTAGCCCAAGGTTAGGGGTCGTACTTGGCGTGTCTTCGGCAAGTACGATTTGACGCCTATGTCCAAATCGGGTAGCTTATGTCACGCGGTTGCGAGACGATAAGCTATATCGGCCTAGGCTTACGACACCCGAAGGTTAATCGTAAGGATCGTCGTTAATTAGAAGGACAGAAGTCCGACTAGTTAACAGGGGCTTTGCTCGTTGACGAAGTCGATGAGTAAAGGTCGAGACTATAGGCTTATCCGCGAAGAGCAGATAAGAAGATAGAATATAGACTGCTGGCGAGGCAGAAGGATCACTCTTGTGAGAGTAGGAGGTCAAGAACCAAGTAGATTCAAGTTAGGGAATATGGTACATGGTAGCGAGTTTATATAGAGGACAGGAGACGTATTAGTGGATGATAACTCGTACTACCGGGAGAGGCAATCGGTAAAGGGTAAGACCATAATAGGAAGGCACGTTCGATCTAGGCAGAACGTGCTGGATAAGAAAGTGAGTCAAAGATCAGAATGAGAAGTGAAACACGCAGGGGCACGATCGTGCAACTGCGGATCTAAATATAAGTCGCATGTGCGACTGCGCACTGAGTCAGAGATCAAGAAAGGAAAATAGGGCAAAGGGGATGCGTCATGCATCGTGTCATAGGTTACCATCCAGATGGTAAGGGCAAGGGGACTATCCGCAGGATCAGTCAGGTGGTGAAACGGAGCATGGGTATGCTTCGTCAGCGAAAGGATCCGGCCAAATGTACTGGCTTTGCTGAAGCGACAGGTAGAGGGCGAAAGGGAATGCGAGGATGACGAGGATGACAAGGGTAAGGTCGGGGTAAGGGTATGATGCAAGGGCTGATACGAGGAGGATCAGGAGAAAAATAGTAGGGGCCCAAGCGTCTAGATGTTCTTGTAACACAAGGCATCCTGCGGAAGTGGACACATAATTGCACCGCAAAATTCAGTATCTATGTCCCCCATGATCTTGTAGCTTGCCCACGCATAGTTGTCCTCTGCAGCAACCCGCACTCACACCCACCTCCTGCACCTGTCAAAACGCCAACACCACTTATCGGAATATTTCATGAGCTTCTCTCACTCATGAAATGGAAACTAGCAGATGCAACACCACGTCGAATCTATTTGGACACAGCATTCATCCAGGGCCTTCATGAAATACTTGGCTGGGACTTTCCAGATGGCCGTGATGCAACACTACAAGATCTTCATCCGTCATTGGTCAATCTCGATCATGTACGGCGTCTCATCAATATTCTGAGGTCTACAAAGTATCCCAGTGGAACTGGATTTGAAGGCAGGTATTGCTACTAGATCTCTGCTGCTTATACTGACATGAAATTACCAGGTGCACGTCTCCTTGCTGAGGAGCATGCAAAGCTACCTCTGGAACAATGCTATGTGCGCTGTGCAGAGTCGCACATCATTGAGCGGGGAGCAACACTCAAACTTGTCATCTGCATGACACCACATATGTCACAGCACCTCATGCAAGCTACGTGCCTGTCCATCGATACATCATTTAAGTGTGCACAAGGATGGCAAGAGTTTGAAATCGAGTTGTGGAACACCGAGCACCAACAATGTAAATCTTACCACATTGTTTATACTTCTGTGCATTAACATTTCGTTTTCTCAGCCGTCGTCAGTGGCAGAGCATTTACAACATCGCAAAGTGCTAAAGCTCATCTCATTCTCTTCGAACATATTTTTGAGATTGCATCCACTGACACTGGGTTGCCTGTTTCATTCAACCATATCCATGGCTGCAGGTTCGAGACGGTGATTGCTGATAGCCACAAAGGTCAAGGGTTAGGTGCGTGTAGCAGCCATGCAGACAGTTTTTGTGAATAACTAATAACATCATAGGTTTGGGAATGTACTGTGTGCAATTGTCTCGCTGACCTGCACCAAACTGGTCCAGTGCATGACCGTGCAGTGTTAGTGAATATTTTTCGGGAATTTTGCATGGAATGAATTTTGTGTTATTTGGCTCGAAGATGACTCAGCTAGATTCTCACGCATCTGAAGCTTCCATGAAAAATACTTTCCGCATATGTTTGTTTGCAGGAACTTCCAGGAAACTTTAAATACATATGTTACCCGGTTTTGCTTTATGACATATGCTACGTCTCTAAATAACATCAAATACAAACAAGTTTCAACATATTATGTAAACCATGTTTTCTTACCACAGTCAGCTGATCTATGACTAAGCCTGACAAATCATGTTCACCTACGTACGATTCACACAGATATTATGATCTATGACAAATAATGTAGTATATCTAGGTACATGAGAAAACGAAAATTGAATATACCTAGGTACGCGGGAGTAAATTAGCACAGCCACGTAGATTTGTCTATATAGGACCTCCATTTTGGCCTGAAATGCAATCAATCTGACTCCTAGAGTCACCCTTAATAAAATTGCGAGTGAGGTTTGTGTGTGATCAGCATCAGCAACAACCACGAAGAGTTGTTCAACATTGTCAGGTGCATTGATGAGACAGTAGGAGCCATTGAGCTCACTGTGCTCAACAACCTGCAAGGCCTAGTTATTTGTTTTGAGAAGTCTTTTGTTTTTTTTCTGAGTGTTTGTGTTTGTGTGCACGTGTCTCTGTTTCTATCTCTCTATCTCTGTTTCTCTAGGATTGGGATCTATTTCTTTTAAGATTGGGATCTATTTCTTTTAAGTTTGGGATCTATTTCACTCTAGTCTGGGATCTATTTCTTTTTTGATTGGGATCTATTTCTTTTAGTTTGGGATCTATTTCCTTATCTCTGTTTCACTAGTCTGGGTTCTGTTTCACTCTATCTGTTTCACTCTCTCCACCCATTGAAAGCTAACAGTCTGAGTGCTCGTTTATTATTGTGTCACTAACGTGTTATAGATTTTAGCTGAATATATACTGAGTGTTTGTTTCTTGCTGCTGATACTAACATACTTTTGATTGTAGCGAATACATTTGAGCCTTATCTTTGGATTCTTCGTGTTGTCTCTACGTCCACTAAAGGCTCAGAGTAGCTTAGTGGGGAGACTTCAGAAGTTGATTATTATCCGCTTGACCTCACACATCTGAGTAGTATACTGAGCCAGGATTGTTATTTGTCAGATAGGCTTTAGCTATTGAATAGGGGACTTGGTATTGAAATCCAAGGACGTCCGTTTCTGATTCTGTTTAATACTCATCGTGAGTTCCTTGGCAGCAGATTCAATATTAGGCTAAGAGTTCTACGGAAGCTTTTGACAAGTCTTGACCTTTGATCCTACCTGTTTGTGTTGTGGGAGTGACCAATACATCTTCGCATGATTGTTTCATAGTAAGTTTAGAATATAGCACCATTGATTGTGCCTAGTCTTAGTTCTTATTTCTGTGTAGCACCAGTGATTGTGCTTAGTCTTGGTTCTTTTTTTTCTGTTTCTTTGTTTCTTTTAGTCAACACCATATCGCTGGGTTGACTAGTGTTTCTAGACTGATATCGTAGAGTACCTTTGTCTGACCATAGCTTGGATATACTGACAGGCCACCCATGAACAACCACGTTATCAGTCATTGGTATTTGTCTGAATCGCTGACCATGGAGATATTTCATTTTGTAGGTGTTCATCTATAAATCATCTATCTAAGAAGACATCGCTCCCTTACAGTGTTATGTCCATATGAGTCGCAGTGTCGTCTCTGCGATCTGGGGCCCTATGATCATCTCCGTCAATTCTATCAGCTTTGTGTGGCACATTATAAAAGAAATGTTCATGCCCTTCATACCCATGTTTCGGACAAAGTATATGCAGCAATGCTGAGCTTGGCAACATCTGAGCCCCATCCAGACATTCAGAAGACATTGGATATCATTCGTGATGGTGGTCCAAAAGCTGCAGGTGAATTATCATTCATGAATCACTTCGTAAAAATTGATGCATCATCAGCATGGTTGAAAGATAAGCTCGAAGGCACGAAATTTGCATTTCCGGCAATATATCAGCCAGCAAGCCTGATACCTCTCGCTTTTTGGAAAGCATCACCTGCAACGACCAACGGCAATGAGCAATCTCATCGTAATGCGTATCGCGAAGGCATTCACTTGACTCTATTAGCTGGCATCATGAAAGGCATGAGATACGACCAGGGAGCAACGAACAGTATGGACGTTCACACCACATTTGGTGTATCAACTAGAGACCAAGGCGCAACTTATATTCAACTGCGCAAAACAGTGCATTATGCGACAAAGTACGAATTTATATTGGGACTCTAAACGCTAGCTAATTTTCATCAGCTCGAGTGCAACAGAACCGGCACTCTTCACATATAGTGAATGCGACGCAGGGCATGCCTCCAAAACCAGCCACAGTGCATGCCACAACTGATGCCTGCTGTCATGACAGTACAACATGCAGCACCTCTGCATCCTGATACTGGTGATGTCAACTGGTCCAACAAGCAAGTGTCAAAGAGCCAGTAGTTGGACTGCCGTTGTTCTCGCTCCACAAACCACCATCTCGAGCGCAAATCAGCACATTTAGTGCCCTGTCATTTGCATTAGTACCAGGTGCTCGCATCATAGACTACCAACCCACGATAATTCAGTCCCCACCGCCACTCACTGATCGCAGACAACTCAGAACATTGCCGAGTCTCGTCGTATAGTTCTCTGACTGCGGCACTCGATTATCAACATGCAAGTGAAGCATCATTTTATGACATACCTGCCCCGCGCTCTCCCCACAAGCAACACAACATCACAAGCACAGATAACCCACTTGTATTGCATCTCGAGTCCGTCATGCTGCCGCTTAGCACATATAGCACACTGGCAAGCGCACTTGGAGTTTAGCATTTAGTCACGGAAAATTTGAGAACAATCATGATAACTCACCATACAGTAGCAAGCTGATAATAAATATAATTATGAAAGTTGAAATAAGGATGAGAGCGTCGCCGAGTGCCTCGTGGATAATCGATGGAGGTTCAAATACCACAAAGTGAGACATTCGAGGATGGAATGATCGGCGCGGACCGGATTCGCGCAAAATATTCTCCACCTGGAACCATAGGTCCGTCTAAAAAGTGAGACAAGGATCAGCCAAGTAATTCGGTAAGTGAGGAGGGTAGAGCTACAAGCACCATGCGCACTCTGGTACCGGCCATGCGCAGAGTAGAGACAAAATTCAGTGGTGAAAGTCACAGAGTGCAATTTGGTGCGGCGAAGTTCGTAAGCGATACGGGGCAGCCTGTGTTGTGAGCGACGATGACTAGAGAAGACTAAACGTCACCCAAGTACCAGGTGCACGTTGACAAGAGACTTACATTCAAAGCCAGGTATTCGGGGTTAGAAACCCAGCTCTTCGGATGAGTATATCTAAGCGAGGAGGTCCTGGGGGTCAGGCATGACTAAGTAACGACACCTTGCACGTACCTTGTTCTTCTTGAGTTTGGGAACCGATCAATTCCGGAACAGTAACAGGTCAACTATGACTCTTCGAAAGGACTTCTACCTGCCGTCACAGGTTTGTTGTTTAATTTTGTTGCCGCTTCCCAGGATCTTTTTACATAAAACACGTGCACACGGTACAACCGAGTGAAACTTCTCTCGGCGTTGTCAACAACGAGCTTCTCCTTGCCCAGACGACCTCCTTTCTTCTCTCCTGCATTCCCCACCTAGTAGATCTCTGATACTCATCCGCAAGTGCTCCTTGTGCTCACTCAGATTCTGGGGTTCTTTGCTCTGCTTCTTTCTCGCATATGAGCAGCCCCCTCGTCGCAACCCGAATTCTCGTTCCTCTTGTTCTCGCCCAAATCCCTTGGCCCTCTCGCCCTTCCTCGCTTGTGATGCTATATACTTGACGTGCTTCCTTCCATAATTCTCTTTGCACTTCGCAAGCTCCTGATGAAGGTAATTAGCGCAGCTTGCATGGTGTACGATTTCTAGAAGGAGCAATTGCACGTATTTGATTAATCTTCTGTGATCGTCTCCATGACATGTCTAGTTGTTCGAGTTTTCCCGTAGTAAATGTTTCGAATCTTCAATGCTACTGAAGCTGTTGCCAACATGTCCACTCGTGGTGCAACATCCAACGTTTAACCGCCAGGTCTATAGGTTTAACCTCGATGTTTATCTCAGGGATCCCTTGTTATATCTGAACAATCTGTTCACGCACCTTCAAGCCCATCGCACGTCAAAGTTCAAAGTGCTCGATAGCCGCCAGGTCAGTTTCCTTCCATACTCCCCACTTTACATCAACTCTACATGGGTCATCGACCTTGCATACCCACAATTATCTATTAATTTATACACAAAGCTCTACCGCACGCTCGATGCCGATGCCAACCGGTACTGCACCACCAAGAAGTGGGGGAAATGCGCCGACTATTTCGAACACGTCAAGCTGGTGACGAAGGTGCCTGAATCCCAGAGCAGTACATGGATACGAAGTGGGTGATGGAGGCGGTATGTTAGGCGGCACGGAGTGGCGTAGTAGCAATGAGTAGGTAATGGGGACTATCAGTTGCTGCGGACTTGTGGAGGGTATAAAGTGGTGATAGGGCTAGATGGTTAGTATGAGGCGATGTACGTCGGAAGAAAGGCACTGTGGCAATGGAGATCAAAGATGGGCATGATAAGCTGTGGGATGGCATCACGGGTCTTGTGTGGTAGACTATGTATGACCTGGTAACCAGCTAGTGCAGCGGGTCGGAAAGGTTAACATATAATGTAAGATGCACCAGCATAAATGACATCTTCAAGGTAATACTTACTATCGATGCAGACACCAGAGAAGGACGCATCACTCCTGTTAACATAACGCATTGGTATTTGGCACCAGTGCAATCCAATCAATCAACAGACACGGATATTCATAGTACGTTCTTGTCATGCTTACTCTGGCGATAAAGGCGCTGGATCAGCCTGTTCGCCTCGTTTGCACTACAGGATCACAGACGCTCCTGAGGCCTGGGCCTGAAGCTTGAAGGCCTGACGCGGACGGATAAACCGTATTAAGTACATAGCCACAGAAGAATCTTGGCCTCCTTGATGGTGACGTCGCGCGTCTGATTCAGTACACAGTATCTGATGGCAAAGTTTTCGTGAAAAGATATACAGTGATCCCACAGTCCTTTGTACAGGATCACTCTATCAATTTCCTCGACGAGTTCCTCATCAACTCGTTGTAAATCCTGCTTATTGCAGAGATAGTGATATGTTACAGTAGAAGCACAAACAAACCTACGGGAAAATACAAAACAAACGACATACAAGACACATTCAGTTTGGTTGCAAGTTCGACAGGGAGCCCTTTCGGGACTCTGCTGCGAATGTCGATGGCCCGCCTTCGACTGCTTTATTGTCACTATGCGTGGATCTATAAAATTGCAAGGGCCGCATAGGATACTGCTGCAAAGTGCCCGAGTCTGTTGCATCGGTCATCCCCGGGCCTATAGTCGAGAGATAACTGTGTTTTCTGTTGATTGCAACGCGAATAAGGACCATATAGAAGGCGATCGATATGATGTGCGTGAGCTAATAGTTCAAAGTTCAGCTTTTGTCAAATAACAGATGTCAACGACGGAATCACCATTTCGTATATAACAAACTGTCCATTGTTCGAGCATACATTAGTGATCAATGCGATCAAGAGCGCCACAGAGTACAAAACAGCAGAATCCACAAGCACGCGCATAATTGGCATCATATTATTCTTCCCAGCACGAACTGTAGAGACATTACGTTCGATCATCCAGACGCGATACGCAAGTAATCCTGTACATGTTTAGGCTTTGGCACCATCCCCAAAAAAAATTGGCTCACCTGAACTCAACAAATTTGTTGCAATAGTCGTGACGAAGAAAGCATTAACCCAATTTGCAGGTGTCCGACGCTCGTTTTCATACATTTGACCAGAGTCGCTTTTGATTTGCGAAAAAGTGTAGTTGCCAACAATACCAGACACTGCGATGTAACGTCAGAAAACATTATAAATCGTGAGCATGATCGCGAACTAACCTACAACACTGCACCACAGCATGCTCGGTACGATGATGACCAAGACTGATTGCCATACAACATAACATCGATAGATCTTCCGAGTCAGCCAGACAGCTCTCTGTGAGCCCATAGGCATATAAGCTGCTATAAAAGCATGAACTCACCAATACCCCATCACCCAGTGAAGTTTGCAAGGCGTATAACACATTCCCGATCGTAAATGTGTATTGAGAAGGATCGGCAAAGAACGCCGCTGGCCCACCCGGGAATGTGTCACGATACTTCACTAGTCCATCTTCCACGCGAATGATATTCACGACGATATGCTTTGAGAAAGTCAACACATGGCAATATATGTAAGAGGAAAGAGTGCATACCGCAGTACTCAATATAAATAGCAGGATGGCCACCACAATGATTGGGCGACTGACATCCTGTATGCGCTGTTTGTAGGTCAAAGCCCACATGGTACCGATAAACATTGTAAGGCTGCTATTGAGTTCGACGGGGATTGTACCCTTGGTGTCGGAAATGAAACTGACGCGAGAGTTAGAGAGAGTATGATAACGAGCGGATCGGGATTCAGAGTAGAGGACTCTCAGAGGGATGGACTGCGTGCATCTAGTGGGAAGATAAAGATTCTCTGTTGAAAAAAATGTACATGGTTGTATTTAAGTTGCGAGAGTGTAAGGGTCCTCGCTGTTACGAGATTGAAGGTTTTTGTGAGACGGAAAATAGGTGGCGCTGCGCCTGACAGGGTAGAGCTGCGGGAATGAGTGAGGGTACGAAATATTTGAATGAAGGTGGTATTAGGTGGCTTGCCGTGCACAGGAATAACGAAAGTTTCGTAGCGGCTTGACTGTTTTTAGGGCAATAGAGTGAAAATGAGACGAATTAACGAGAGAAAGGGTTTGTGAATGTCCAGGGTTTCGTATGAGGGTGAGTGAAGGACCGATCTAGTTGTCGACGATAACGAAACATGAAGGTAAGAAAGGAGGATGTATCCGCGTGACTCGGATGCGAAGCGTAGTGCTTCTTCGCATCAGTGAGTCACATGGCTGACTGGACACGTGTCCTTATGTCTCGTTGAGAAGGTATAGTCGGGGTGTACAGGATATGCGATCCTTACATCCC